GTAGCACCGTCTTGTTGAAAGTAAACGTTGTCCACATCAATACCATCCAATTCCGGCCATAAAAAATCATTCATCATCTCTCGATAGCGCAATCCATTCACCGTAACTGTTGCTCCAGCCTCATTTTCGAAAAAGTAAGGTCCAATGACTCCGCCGGACCATAAACCGCACCAAACAGTCACACGTTGAGGATAGAGAGGCTTTTCAACAATAACTCTTGGGTTTTCCGAGCCCCAGATGCGACAATTTTGCTTGTTGACGAAGCCACCGAGGTGGAAATGGGCCTCATCACTCAAGATGATTTTTCGATGGAATTCCGGATCATTTTCATGCATTTCAACGACCCAATCAGCAAAGACACGACGTTGTTGATGATCGGACGGCTTGAGTTCTTGTGTTAACTGAAGTTTATAAGCCTTAAGACCCAAATCTTTATGCAAAATACGGTGTAATGACGTTTGTGGAATGCCTAATTCCAAAGAACGACGAGGAATGGACAAACCTGGGTTTTCTTCAACACTTTCGGCTACAGCAGCAATATTCCCGGCTGTTCTTGAGCGACTTGCACGGGTTTTATTCTTCACATCACTAACTTGTCCCAACAGCTCGAATTTTTCCACCAATTTCTGTATTGCGGTCCGACAAGGTGCTTCACGACGACCCAAAAATGTTCGACTTTTACGAACCGTCTCTGCCAAAATTTCACCATTTTTATAGTGAATTTTAATAATTTCAATGCGTTGTTGAAGCGTGTATCGTTCCATTTTTATTAATGGCGTACTTTCTACTTGTCAAATGTCAAAAAATGACAGCTTCAAAAGTGACATCTACCGAAATAACGGGCTATTCAAAATAACACCTCTTATTGGAAAACCCTTTAGTTATGCAGTAAGTGTTATGCAAAAAAAAAAATAAAATAAAAGAAAATCGGATAACAACATATAAGTTTTTTTACATTATTTTCAAGCGTACAATATACTCCTAAAGTTTGGTCCGTTCCTCCCGATTCACCCTGTATATTTAGGAGACTTTTGATTTAGTTTAGTGCTTAAGAGTGCTTAAGAGGTTAACATGCAAGACTTCCTAGGGGAAGTTATTTATGTTACACAGACGAACATTGTTGGTGGCTATCTTGTGTTGCTTAATCAGCACGCGCATGCGTTTAGGAAACTTAGTAGTGGGGGGGATGAGGTTGTGACGTCAAAATGAAAAAAAAATCCGCTGTAATTATAATAGTTATTTTTTATTCATTGAATTCATTGAATTATTTTTAAAACCACAAATAAGAAATCATTTTAACAAACAAATAAAACAAAACAATTAATATAAAATAATGAATACCAGCTAGGATAATAAATTTTTTTCTTGCAACCGGAATGGTTTCTAACGGATCGTTTAAAAGATAAATTCTTAACCCTTTTACAAAATTATCCGCATAATCATCCCAATTAATCGATTCGATATCGAAATTAAATAAATCTTGATCTTTTTTCGATAAATTTTCGTACAACGCTTTGTTGTTGGTGTCGTCGAATTCCCATTCGTTTAATGTAAAGTACGAGATAGCGTTAACAAATTTAATTACTTTTTTAGACAAATTAAACATGCTAAAAACATAAATTAATAATAATAACGATGTCTTTAATAAGTTGTGTTAAATTACTTACAAAGGTTCTTTTAGAATTAAAATTAAAATAAAATCGACGAGTAAAGCCGGGAAGTAATGTAAAAAAAGAACGTTTAAGTAATAAATCGTTTTTGATTTAATCAATCCACCATATGGGTACTGCACCGCTCTCGTGAAAGGATATTTTGCTCTACAACTTTTAATTTTCGCGCTCAAATCACCTGGAAATGAAATATGGTTTAAATATTATACAGTGCTTTTTACTTAAAGTCATAGTTTTAAGTTCTTAGTTCGTCATTTATCATAATCATGGTTGCTATGAGCAAAAATCTTCAAGTAAGGACTAATGAAAGTAGTTGCTAGATATAGTAAATGCAAGTTTTCAAAATGTTAGTATTTCTTAAGAAAATCTGTCCATAAATGAAATGATTGTCGTTTTTGGAGAGACACGCTGCTAAATGTATTCCATTGAATGGCAGAAAAGAGGATTGCCACATGCACATATTTGCAAATTGACCAAATCATCTCAGCAGAAATACCAGATAACGACATTGATCCAGAGTTAATCGACGTCGTTACCAAAAATATGATTCATGGTCCATGTGGCGCGTTCAAAAACAATTTACCATGCATGTCTGATGAGAAATGCACGAAACGATACCCAAGAAACTTGATTTCTGATACCATCACTGGAAATGACGGATACCCACTGTATCATCGACGATCACTTGAGGATAGTGGCAAATCCATCGTACTGAAAGTACGAAATGTTGATGTGGAAGGAAGTCGATAATCGTTGGGTTGTGCCATATTCACCGTTGGTCAACTTGGATGATACATTAGCAGCAATGAAGCAGTATGGCGCATCCTATCATTTCCAATCCATGAACGACATCCAACAGTAGTACACTTGGCGGTGCATCTCGAGAATGGACTTCGCAGCAGATAATGTGCATGCAAGAGCATTGATTCCACCCGCAACAACTTTAACTGCATTTTACTCATTGTGCCAGGATGATCTTTTTGCAAAGAATTTAAATTCTACACATGGAATGCATCAGCTAAAAAGTTTCAACGTCGCAAACGAGGTAAAGCAGCTGCAGGATATCCCATTTGTATTTCAGTGACGCATTGGGTCGTCTATACAGGGTGTCCAAATTTCGATGGGTATCTGAGCTACTTTTTTATAAAACTTACAATGACGCAAACCAAATTTTCATAGCCCTCTTCGTTTTTGATATACAGGGAGTGTTTCAAAATTAACGATTTTGACACCTCCTGTGACACCTCCTGTATCTCGGCTATCCGTAAACTCAAGTTCGCGAAAGCCGCAACTTTCAATCTTTTATAATAACTGAGATACCCTGCAAAGCCATCGAAATTTGGACATCCTGTACACTGTTCAGCCGAACAATACAGAATGCTTCTATCTGCGATTGCTGTTAATCAATGTACGTGGACTGACATCTTTCCAAGATTTAAGAACAGTCAACGGTCAGCTGTGCGCCACATATCGCCAAGCTTGCCAGGAACTAAATCTTCTTGAGAATGATGCACATTGGGACACTGCACTCGCTGATGCATCGAATACTGCTCACCCACAGCAAATGCGCACGTTATTTGCCATAATATTGACAACCTGCTTCCCATCTAATCCAAAAGATCTTTGGGAAAAATACAAGGACTACATGAATGAAGATATTCTACATCGATTGCGCGCTGCGAATCAAAATCCGGAAAATTCATATCAAACGTGTATAATGAGGCATTGATTTTGATTGAAGACACATGTTTGGCAATCGCTAACAAGGCACTGGTGCAACTGGGAATGCCTGCTCCGAACCACACTTTGATTCTGACAAACTGGGGACATTTGTTCAAACAAGCTTCCGCAGTTGGTTCCAGAACTGCGTATGACAAAATTATGTGTGCAATTACACAATAAAGCGGTGGACTATTTTTTTCATAGATGCGCCCGGTGGCACAGGCAAGATTTATCTTCTTTCACTCATTTCGGCAACCATACGATCACAAAATAATATTGCACTGGTCATTGCATCATCTGGAATTGCGTCAACTCTTTTGGATGTTGGCCGAATAGCGTGTTCAACATTGAAACTGCCGTTGAATTTGCAAAACACTGAGGCTAAAAACTCTGGAATGGGCAAAGTACTCCAAACGTGTCATATTATCATATGAGACGAATGTACAATGTCTCACAAGAAAGCATTGGAGAGCAGAGGAAACACTGCCGGTTATAGCACGTTCAACAGCCACTGATGAACTTAATGCATGTCTCAAATCACCAGTTTTTCATCATTTACAGAAATTGACTTTGAAAACCAACATACGTGTACAACTACAACGGGATGCATCGACTGGAAATTTTGCAAAACAATTAATCGATATTGGAAATGGGCGAATACAAATTGATAGTTTGCCTACCAGCAAACTTCTGTAAGATCACAGAAAACATAGACGAATTGGTGCAAAAAGTTTTCTCAAACATGGCACAGAACTACAAAAATCATCAATGGCTCCAGTACGCGTGCTATATTAGCGGCCAAAAACATCGATATCAATACTATCAACTTCACCATTCAGAATTCGTTCAGAATGGAATACAACATATAAGTCTATCGATATTATGGTGAATCAAGACGAAATTGCCAACTATCCAACTGAATTCTTGAATTCGCTTGATTTGCCAGGCATCATTCTTCTTCGAAACATAAATCCACCACGACTTTGCAACGGAATCAGACTCTCAGTCAAGAAAATGATGAACAATTATCGAGGTAACAATTTTGACTGGAAAATTCAAAGGTGAAGACGTACTTTTGGCACGTATCCCAATGATCCCGACATATATGCCATTCGAATTCCAACGTTTGCAGTTCCCGGTGCGACTCGCTTTCGCAATGGCTATCAACAAAGCACAAGGACAATCGTTACAAGTGTGTGGATTAAATTTGGAGAATCCATGCTTCTCACATGTGGCCTGCTCACGCGTCGGAAAACCTTCTGATTTATTCGTTTCAATAAATATCGAATTGAAACGTAACGCTGATAACTTCACACCAGTCGAGAACTACACTTGCTGCAGTAGCAATGAGCTGAGCATCAATCCAAAGAAAATCGAAATAATCCCTTTCACTCGGAGAAGAAAGCTACAATTGAGAGCATCCTCCATTGAAAGCAGAACTATTAACCTCAAAACAAAAATTAAATACCTAGGGGTAATACTAGACAGCAAATTAAACTGGAACTCCCACATACAACAAGACAAGGTGAGGAAGGAACTGGGCCTACGTAGCAATAATCAGACCTATGCCTCACTGGTTTGGTGGCACAAATATGGCACAAATCCAGCGGTTAGCATATCTTCGGTGAAGTGAGGATAAAGTATATTTAGTTTCCTGCAAGTAGCTGTTGTGCCTTAGAAACTATATTTAGTCTTCTACAAGCAATTTCTTGTATGTTAGAAGCAGTATCTAGCTTTCAAAACATAGTGTCGATCTTCAGCAAGCAGTTTTAGTCTTCTGCCAACAGCATTTAATGATCTGCACGCAGTTTCCAGTCTATTACAAACAGTATCTATTCTTTTATAGTCAATATTTGTATTCTGCAAGCAGTTTTAGTCTTCTGCCATCAATATTTAGTCTTCTGCAAGCTATTTTTAGTATATTAAAATTAATATCTAGCGTTCTATGGACTGTGTTTATATTCTGGGAGCAAATTTATGATGTAAATCTAACTCTAACTCCTTAATAGCCACACAATAGGCAAAGAGGAGATGTTTATGAAGTATTATCGTGTACATTTTTTAGATATATTTTATTATGCAAGACTGGAAACTAGAAATATTCGGGATCAACCTAATAAAGCAAGACGAGATACTGCTTGCAGAGAGATGGATGCTGTTTGCTGAAAGATAGGTGCTGTTGGCAGAAGACTAAGTATCTCTGACAAGTTTAAATAGTGGAAAGGAAAGATGAGATAATGTTTCCAGAAAGATAAATGTTGTTGGCAGAAACCTAGAACTAATTTTTGATCCCTAAAGATTAGTAACTGGTATTAAGCTCTTTTGAATTTTATGTAGGACAGTGCAAATGCATAATAGTTTCGTAACTTCATACATTGCGAGTTATATGAAATTCCCGCTATTTTAATTGATGCTAACCCCAAAGAATTGGATTTCTCGTTCCACAAGTTGAATTAAAAATTTTTAATTTCTCCTTTTCGTCGGGATTAGATTGCCTTTTGTGCGTATCGAACGCGACTGCTATTAAATTGTTAGTGACGTAATCGACGGGGATTGTATCGACTTTATACGATGGATCTCCATGTACATGGTGCAAAACACCCAAAGCTGCAGCCCCAAACATTCCAGTTATTGCGAAAAAAGTGTCTGTCCAACCAGGCATTGGTTCCATAACAGAAGAACTCACTTTAAAAAAAAATTTATTATAAATTTATTTTATTAATTTTTTTTTCTTTTTACCAACAGATGGCCTCAAAATGGAAATGGGCAACCCTTTCCCTTCATCGAGGATTACATTTTCCGTGGTACCTTTACTTAAAATATAAGTATTTGGTAAATCTTTGAGGATTCTACAAGATTAAGGTAAGAACACATTTTAATTAATAATAAATAAATAACTCACATCGGAGTTATTTTATTTAAAGTATCGTCATCTAGATCAACGATTTTCATAAAAATATCTTCTTTTAAGTAAGGCTCATAAATAATTTCTTTTATAACTTTTAAATGGCAATTCGAGAAAGCCGTTGAGACATAAACGAAAGACTAAAATTAAATAAAATTATTTAATAAATCTTATTGTTTTTAAAATGTACCTCTAATTTTTTTGATCCTCTACAAATTTTAATTAAATCTTTAGTCCCTCTAATGTTAATTACCGCGACTTTTTTTAACGATTCATCAAATCGAACCGTTGCGCCGCAATGAAACACGATTTCAACCTCTTCTTGTAACACTTTAACATCATCTTGCGATAACCCCAAATTGGGGAGTTCTAAATCTCCGGTTAAAATCGATACTTTATCCGTGAAATTAGGACGATTCTTTTTAATAAAGTCAAAAGCCTAATTAAAAAAAAATAATTAAACATAATTATTGATAAATGAAAACTTACCTTCGAATTAAAAATTGTTTCCAATCGTTCTTTTGGTTGCACCCCCTTTTTTTCGCGTACCAAAACATAAATTTTGTTTAAACCGAAACATGCTCTCAATAATTTTTCGAGCAACAATTTCCCTAAAAATCCACTCGAGCCGGTTATAAAAATCGTTTTGTTGTCGAAATAAGCTTGTATTTCGCTCATTTTTGATTTCGGTTTGATGACAATCAATAAAAAAGCGTTCATTGTGTATTTATACTTCATTGATATGGATATTTATTTAAAGTAAGTCAAAAAATCAGAATACAATGAAACAAATCAAAATTAAATCATCGGTATACTTTAAACGCTTTTTTTGTTCATTGTATTAAGTTCATTAACCAATTAAAGGTAAATAGTTTTTTATTCGGTGTTTCGGTTTTTATTACTCGTTTAAAAATGACGGAAAAAGTTTAAAATATACTTCAAAAAATTTAAACCTTTAGAACCGTTTCAACTATGTTTTCATAAATTAAATAAATAAACTTTTGAAACGCACTGTATATATTGATTAAGGCGCTTGCGGCCGAGGTTGTATATTAAGACCATATCGATATGAAGATACACTATTTTGTTAGAAATATATATCCTTGCTAAGCCGAGGTCGCTTGCGGCCGAGGCTCTACATCAAGGCCATATGGACATGAAGCTACACAATCTTTAAGAATACATATTCTAATCAAGCCGAGGTCGCTTGCGGGCGAGGCGCTACATTAAGACCATATCGATATGAAGATACACTATTTTTTAGGAATATGTATTGTAGCTAAGCCGAGGTCGCTTGCGGCCGAGGCTCTACATCAAGGCCATATGGACATGAAGCTACACAATCTTTAAGAATACATATTCTAATCAAGCCGAGGTCGCTTGCGGGCGAGGCGCTACATTAAGACCATATCGATATGAAGATACACTATTTTTTAGGAATATGTATTGTAGCTAAGCCGAGGTCGCTTGCGGCCGAGGCTCTACATCAAGGCCATATGGACATGAAGCTACACAATCTTTAAGAATACATATTCTAATAAAGCCGAGGNAACATTTGCTTACTGACACTCTGCAAGAACTAGGTTAGGAAAAGCATATCTGGTTGCGTGCGAAGACATATCGCCATCTACCATCATATTATTTACGTACTTCTTGCGAGCCAGAGGAATGACCGCTAAAGGTGGTAACATAGTTTCTATCATCTTTTTGAGGGGAGTTTTAAAGTGGAACATGTTTTTAGACTAGCTTTACTGAAAGTTCAGGTTTGCTTAATCAAAATGTAAAATTACAAATGAAGAATGTTAATAGATTTTTGTCTAATATGTACATAATGTTAGACGTCTCCAGTTATAACATGCCAGAGGAATGATATTTTGACATGATTTTTTACTATAATTTAATAATAATAAGTATGATTTCATTAACTCTTTAAGAACTCAATATAGCTGGTCTATACTTTTCTAGAAACAATACGATATTTGTAGAAAGTAATTTTTTAGTCGAAATTGTTACCGGTAACAGCAAAAATGATAGTTTCTATAGAAATACCGAGATACACTATTTTTTAGCAATATGTATTCTAACTAAGCCGAGGTCGCTTGCGGCCGAGGTTGTATATTAAGACCATATCGATATGAAGATACACTATTTTTTAGAAATAATATTCTAGCTAAGCCGAGGTCGCTTGCGTCCGAGGCTCTACATCAAGGCCATATAGACATGAAGCTACACAATCTTTAAGAATACATATTCTAATAAAGCCGAGGTCGCTTGCAGGCGAGGCGCTGCACTAAGACCATATCGATATTTTTTCGGAATATACAGGGTGATTCACATAAAAACCGACACAGAGCAGGGAAATGTAGAGGACAATAAATTAAGATGATTTAACAGCCTTCAAAGTTGAGTCTTAAATTTTTAAAACATTGAATATCTTCGCAATACACCAAGCTAGAAAAAACAAATTTGGTATACGTTATGAGTGTACCGAGGGTTATAATTGGTAGCAAGTTGAGACCAATTGAGGCATTTCAAAGGGTTGATTAAGGGTGATGGTCCCCTAAATTTTGACAGATTTTTTTAACCTTTTGGTGGATTTAGTACATTATTACCTCATTTCAAGTGGAACTTAATTCTAAAACTTTTTACTCTTATTATTTTTTAAAAAACATTGTCGTTTTCATAAAAAACTCAAATAACTAAAGACACGTATTTCGTTAATGCTACTTAAAATCATTGAAAATTCAGTAGTCGGCTGTGAAATTTTTACGTCAAACTTGACAAATAGGTTATAAAACCAAATAACTTTATAACCTATTTGTCAAGATTGACGTACAATTTCATCATGAATCACCCTGTATATTCTAACTAAGCCGTGGTCGCTTGCGGCCGAGGTTCTACATTAAGACCATATCGATATGAAGATACACAATTTTTTTTAGAAATATACATTCTAGCCTTTGATTATATATAATATGGATTGAGCCAACGAGAGAGATAGCTTGCGCAACCAGGAAACTTTTATTTGAAACATTTTTCATTTAAATCATAAATGTCGTATTTACTAGCTATGTCCCATACTTTTGTTCCATCGATGTATCGATTAAGAAGCCGAGATATACATTTTTTCCTTAGAAAAGTTGTAGGAAATTTATCACACTATAAACGGAAAATATTTTCATACATACAGGGTGGTCCATAACGACGTACCGAAATAAACATGTTATTTTAAATGGAATAATATAGTTTTTATTATTGCTTCTACATATAAAGATATGTTGACTTTGATAAGGCATGTTGGTACCCAATAAAAGAAATAAACAAAATCTGCCCATGTTTGAATGATTTTGATTAATTCCGCAATATCTCAAAAATTCCAACTGATAGGTATAGGGACACGTATTGAAGATTTGTAGAGAATTAAATTCTCTATCTGATAGGCTAATCAGATACAAGGTGTTGCATTTAAAAATCTTGTGAAAAACCCATTTAAAAAAACATCAAAATTTACTAAGTTTTATGAACACTCTATATGGTGTATCTAATATCTTTGGATACTGCAATCTACCTACTGGATTTAACTATTAACTGACATAGTTTAAAAGTAAAATCGGCAAAAATGTCATTTTTACATAGTTCTTAAAAGATCATGTAATTGAACTATTAACGCTGTGACCTTGCAACATATACGGTTGGATAAACAAAATTAGTTGTATTCATAGTATGATAAAATATACAGATGTTCCATTTAAAACCAAATAACTTTATAACCTATTTGTCAAGATTGACATACAATTTCATCATGAATCATGAATCACCCTGTATATTCTAACTAAGCCGTGGTCGCTTGCGGCCGAGGTTCTACATTAAGACCATATCGATATGAAGATACACAATTTTGTTAGAAATATATATCCTTGCTAAGCCGAGGTCGCTTGCGGCCGAGGCTCTACATCAAGGCCATATGGACATGAAGCTACACAATCTTTAAGAATACATATTCTAATCAAGCCGAGGTCGCTTGCGGGCGAGGCGCTACATTAAGACCATATCGATATGAAGATACACTATTTTTTAGGAATATGTATTGTAGCTAAGCCGAGGTCGCTTGCGGCCGAGGCTCTACATCAAGGCCATATGGACATGAAGCTACACAATCTTTAAGAATACATATTCTAATTAAACCGAGGTCGCTTGTGGGCGAGGCGCTACATTAAGACTATATCGATATGAAGATACACTATTTTTTAGAAATATGTATTCTAACTAAGCCGAGGTCGCTTGCGGCCGAGGTTATATATTAAGACCATATCGATATGAAGATACACTATTTTGTTAGAAATATATATTCTAGCTAAGCCGAGGTCGCTTGCGGCCGAGGCTCTACATCAAGGCCATATGGACATGAAGCTACACAATCTTTAAGAATACATATTCTAATCAAGCCGAGGTCGCTTGCGGGCGAGGCGCTACATTAAGACCATATCGATATGAAGATACACTATTTAGNCGTTTTATGTCTATCTTTGTTACACTTTCACATTATCGCTTTCCATCTGCGTCTATTCACCTTGAGCCACATTTTTGTTAGTAGATATATTCAGTTAGCTCAATCCATATTATATATAATCAAAGATTCTAGCTAAGCCGAGGTCGCTTGCGGCCCAGGTTCCTACATTAAGACCATATCGATATGAACATATACAATTTTCTAGGAATATACAGGGTGTATCAGGTATGAGTAGAAAAAATTTGAGGTGTTATAGGTCTCCTCTTTCTGAATAAAAAATTCTTATAACGCAATGTCCTATTCTTTGTCCTTCTTAAGATGTGATGCGATAAAGTTAAGGGTTCACAAGTTTGAGTACTACTGGTTAATGAATTATACTAAACAAGCTTTTCTTTGCAACTTTTAATTTATTTCTAGTTTTGTAATTTTATTGTTTTTAATACAATAAGCAAGTTTATTTATAAAAAACCTAAATTTTTGTAAATTTTCACTTTAAAGAATGATAAAACAGAAGTGATAAATTTATTCGTATAAAGTAAACAACCTCTAAAAAATATCCTAAAAATGACTTGTATGTGTCAAATTGAAGCTATATTACATAAACAAAGTCTGCTTAATATAATTGTTTATACAGCAGTACCTAAACTTTCAAACCCTTAACTTTATCGTATCATATCTTAAGAATGGCAAAGAATGGGACATTACAGACCTATAACCCCTCAAATTTTTTCTACTCATACCTGATACACCCCCTGTATATTCTAACTAAGCCGAGGTGGCTTGTGGCCGAGGCTCTATTACAAGCCATGTTGACATGAAGCTACGCAATGTTTAAAAATAAATAATCTAATTCAGCCAAGGTCGCTTGCGGGCGAGGTGCTACATTGATAACATATTGATATAGTGCTACACAATTTTTAAGAACATACAGGGTGTTTCAGCTTTTTGTAGCAGGACTTTAACAGTCGATAGATCTTTTAAAATTACCATAAAAACTTCATACAAACATAACGCTTTGTTTTGGAGATACAGATAATATTACACGTGTATTTCAACCGATTCTTTTCAAATTTGGTTTTTTGGTATGAGAAAGACGATTATAGAGTCTATTTTATTATAGCCGATAGAGGGAATACGCTCTGTAACGTATTTTTTACGTTTTTAATTCTTATTCTCTGTACTTTTTAAGCAAAAAGGGTACTCTTATCAAAATGCACTAAAGTTTATCATTTTCAAGATAATCTGCTTTTTATTATTCGATATAGACCAATTTTTTAGAGGATAGTTAAAGATAGTTAAAATAATGTGTGCCATGGAAACAAAGTAAGTAAATTAACTAATGTTTTAATTTATTAATATTTTTTAATCTAAACAAATTGAAGAAAAAAATTAAAGAAATTGTTGAAAATGTAAGAAATTTTACTTGCACAATTCTGACCAAGAACGGTCTTATGTCATTACAAGCATTCCTAATCCTACTAAAAGTTCATCCCTTGTGGGAACAGGTGTCTCTTACAATTTTCCTTTCAAGTATCTCCACACAAAAAAGTCTAAAGCATTAAGATCTGCAGGTCGTGGGGCTATGCGACTTGTCCACCACGACCAATCCATCTTGCAAGAAAATGGTTGTCCAGCTAATTTCTTACCACCCTATCATGATAAGCTGCACAATCATCAAGTTGAAACCAGGCGTTTCTTCTTAAGGCTAAATCAATGTCATCCCACATATTGGCATGTCCAGCTACCAAAAATTAGAAGAACACCGCAACGGTTAGTTGTGGTGGCCCGAAAAGATGATTTTTATAAACGTTGACACTAAATTCATGTTGGAAGTTTCGTGGCCGAATTGCGTAGGATACCAAAACATGTAAATTATGAAAGTTTACAATCCCACGTCTTGTGAAACACCATTCATCGTTCCACAAGCGTTTGTCGACCTATGTTTATATGAACCTATTATATGACCTATGTTTTTGTACTAATTTTAAAAGATCTATCGACTGTTAAAGTCCTGCTACAAAAACCTGAAACACCCTGTATATATCGTAATTAAGCCGAGGTCGCTTGCTGGCGAGGCTCTACATTAAGACCATATCGATATACACAATTTGTTAAAATATACCGGGAGAGGCATTTAAATTGAGAGACCTTATTATCGCTTCTTTTTTTTTTTTTTTTTTTTTTAATATCAACAATAACCAGCTCAACATTACAATGTTCTTTCATGGTTTTTATAATATAATAAGGTGGTTTCACAATGATACGTGGGAAACAAATGTCTTCCTGAAACTATTCACTGTTTATTAGAATATCTTCTTCTGCCAGGTTGTCTTGGGGAAGTTTTCTTTTTANATAACGGATAATATCGGTTTTGTGTAACTAGTTTGTCTGGTGGGCACCAGTTGTATCGTTTAGTGACCTCGCTTACGGGAGGGGATAACTGGTCTCGAGAACGTTTTTGGCTCGCAGACATTGTCTATTAATAAAACCACCCCGAAGGGTGACAATTCGATCTAACTACCAATTATTACTTTTGTAGAAGGCCCGTCGTTTTGTGTTTGAGATAAGTTACTCACGTGGAGTTTTATTTTAACAAATAACTCACTTTCGTCTTATACGGGAAACGCGTTCACGAAACACGTTCGTTCACTTCGAATACTCCGACACGAATATTATCGCTTCTAAAATGCAATGAAAACCATACAGAATATTTTTCCCCTTCATATGATGAAAGTTTTATCTAAAACTTTTTTCGATAAAATTGATCGTATATGAGTTACAAGGTCGTCTCAATTTAAATCATTTAAATGCATCACCCGGTATATTCTAACTAATAGTAAGATGATGCTCTCTATATCAAGATGGTATCGACATGCTATCGAGCGAGGCGCTACATCGATTTTCAAGAATATACAGGGTGAGTTATTAGTAGCCCGGCGGTTGATAATCACTTGAGAAAGAAAAAGTTGTTTTATATAAAAGTTGTTCTACTCACCACTTTTTATAACGTAAAATTATTTTCGTTTATACGGGGTGTTGCATTTAGGCGTGTAATTTTGTTTAAATGGAACACCTGTATATTTTATCATACTATGAATACAACTAATTTTGTTTATTCAACCGTATATGTTGCAAAGTCACAGCGTTAATAGTACAGGATCTTTTAAGAACTATATAAAAATGACATTTTTGCCGATTTTACCTTTAAACTATGTCAGTTAATAGTTAAATCCAGTAGGTAGGTGGCAGTATCCAAAGATAGTAGATACACCATATAGAGTGTTCATAAAACTTAGTAAATTTTGATGTTTTTTTAAATGGGTTTTTCACAAGATTTTTAAATGCAACACCTTGTATCTGATTAGCCTATCAGATAGAGAATTTAATTCTCTACAAATCTTCAATACGTGTCCCTATACCTATCAGTTGGAATTTTTGAGATATTGCGGAATTAATCGAAATCATTCAAAACATGGGGGATTTTGTTTATTTCTTTTATTGGGTACCAACATGCCTTATCAAAGTCAACATATCTTTATATGTAGAAGCAATAATAAAAACTATATCATTCCATTTAAAATAACATGTTTATTTCGGTACGTCGTTATGGAACACCCTGTATGTATAAAAATATTTTCCGTTTATAGTGTGATAAATTTCCTACAACTTTTCTAAGGAAAAAATGTATATCTCGGCTTCTTAATCGATACATCGATGCATATTGATATAAAGCTGTACAATTTTTAAGAATATACAGGGTGGAACAAAAGTATGGGACATAGCTAGTAAATACGACATTTATGATTTAAATGAAAAATGTTTCAAATAAAAGTTTCCTGATTAATTATGGCGCATATTCTGGGTATATTTGTTTGTTTGTATTGTTATCAGTTTCGTTGCTATGGTAACCAACATTGTTATCTTAAGAGAAAAACTCAATTTTCTGAAATTATTTAATCAGCACATTTCAAGTCTATCATTTACATTTGATTAATAAGGAAATTTATTAAAAATAATTCAATAAATTATAATACAATGATCCGAATAAAAACTGTATACAAATGCACTTTAAACGTTACTCGATTCTAAAACATAAAGCTGCGTCATAAATATTTCAATTTCCATGACTAACACCAAATTAAATTGTAATTAAAAAATTGAAATAGTAATTTGAATCGTTCGAAATAATTAGAGCGGTGTTGATAATTCTTAAATGGGAATGACGAACGTTTTATTTAATTAAAGGAAAACTGGACAGAAAAAAAAGCGTGTAGTAAACGAGGAAATGATTTATATCAAATTAACAACGATCGATATAAAAATCGTGTTATTTTGTATTACATTTCATTTCAATTCCGCTTTTTATCAAATTGAAATGGATTCTTACTATGTTCCTTTGAATGAAAATCAAATCGAAAAAATTAAAAAAGAATTAAACGTCTCTGATGAAGTCAAATTTGAGCATAGTGTGAAATTATTTGAGGAATGGGTTTCGTATCAAACTTATTTACCCCAACATTATGGTAAGAAAAAATAATTATTTATTAAACCAAACGTTTATAATTCATTTTATAGACAGAGTTTTATTGAGAACTTATTTAAGACAATGTAAACACGATTTGGAAAAAGCGAAAACGAAATTTCGAAATTATTTAATTAACATTACGAAGCTTTCGAATTTATTCGATAATCGCCTGGATTGTTTGCAACCGAATCAAGCGATTTCCAGGTATATGTATATGTTTCCATTACCGGAAACGACCCCGGAAGGATATCGCGTGATTTTCACCCGGATTATTAATCCAGATCCGAATGTTATGGATTTACAAAGAATTATGCAAACGATTACTTTGTATGGTAAGGATTAATCTCAAAAAAATCATCTCTATTGATTTAAACCCATTTAATATCATTTCTTTTAATATTTTTGTTAAACTAGTTTCGGTAAATAACCAACCTCAGGAATCATCTAAGTAATCAAATCTAATTTGAGCTAAAAATTTAAATAGTTTTAAAAAATAAATCGTGCAAAGAATTTTATTGTGATGTTAGGGAATATCTTAAGTAAATTTGATGATATACACTATGTTGAGGAAGATCCGCGACGATTTTGAGATATCTCGCAGATAATTTAGCGATATCATGGCGACGTAGATGATTGTAGAGATAAGACTTGGGTGTTATGCTGATAGATGATATTAGAAGACATTGAAGCCATTTTTAAGATATATTTGTTGCGATGTTTAAAAAGATAAGAGTGATATTAAAAAATGATGAAAAAATTGATTATGGTGACGATTTTGAAACAATATTTAGTGATATCAAAGAAAATATATTATAAATAATGTTTTGGGAGATGCTAGAGGTTATATTGAAAACTGTCAGGGATTATGTTAATGATATGAGGGAAACTGTAAGGTTTTTGGAGGCTATAACAATGTTGGGCATGCTGTTGAAAGTTGCTGTAGACAATAATATAGCAAATCAGAATATCTTTGAAAGTGATCAGGGACAATGTTGTAATACATCGGGGTTAATGTTGAAAAATAGCACAAGAATTATGCCTAGATATATCAAGGAAAATGTTAATGATACATTTTAGGGAGGATGTTGAGATATATCAAGGTTGATAATAAGAGATATCAAGAACGATATCTTATTATATAAATGACGAGAAAGCTTTGGATAACACCAAGAGATATTAAGATTTATGTTCAAAAATGTTAGGCATGCTGTAGAAGGAGGATATTGGAAATCATCAGGGACAATGTTAAAACATCAAGGTTGATATTAAAAAATAGCAACGATTATGCCTAGATATGTCAAGGAAAATGTTAATAATACATGCTAGGGATGATGTTGTAAGATAAATATTCTGAAATTTTAGGGTTGATGTTGAATGATACTATTTAGGCACTATTTTGAGACATATCAAGGATGATAATAATGGTATTAATGACGATAATATCTACAAAAGACTAGAGTACTATCAACACTGAAATTTAGAAAAATCTCCTCGAAAACATCACCAATTTTTATTAAAATTGAGTTTAGGAAAAAATAATTTTCAAAAATTTCTTAAATATTATTTAAGAATTGCAAAGGAAATAGAAAATCCTTTAATTTGATACCCAACAACCCATATTTTCGATAAAATCAAAAAAGTTAACCTCAAAAAGTGACAGATAATATCCGCCATTTTGTTTTGTTTTAACTTTTCGTATCTTTACGAATATTTAAGATAAACCCGGCGTGTTTGGACTTAAATAACTCGATTTTGAAAAATCTGTTTGAAAATATCATCAATTTTTATTAAAATTGAGTTTAGGAAGAAATAATTTTTAAATATTTCTTAAATATTATTTAAGAATTGCAAAGGAAATAGAAAATCCTTTAATTTGATACCCAACAACCCATATTTTCGATAAAATAAAAAAAATTAACCTCAAAAAGTGACAGATAATATCTGCCATTTTGGTCTGTTTTAAGTTTGCGTATTTTTACGCATAGGTAAAATAGATTAGCATTATAATTAAAAAATTCTTTAAAACGCCGTAGATAACGTTATAAGTTAATGTTTCGAAATTTAATACTTTGACATCTGTCATTTTTGACAGGAGACAATTTTAAATGTTATCATGTTGTGTTTTTTAATCAAGGTTGTCCCTTACTTTGCGGATTTTGAATGAGAATTATATTTTGGTAGAAACTTTAAGTAATTTAACATTCTTGACAGCTGTCACTTTTGATTAATGCTAATTTTATATGTTTCACTTTGGAATTTGTATTTATTTTAAAAATTTTATTAAAATAAAATGAAGTTATTGAGCTAAAAATTTGAGCTGGCATTAACGTTTCGGTCGGAAGAGATAAGTAATTTGACATTTTTGACAGCTGTCACTGGATAAATCATAATTAATTAAAGTTTTTGCAACAAAATCAATTTTTTTATATTTAATTAAATGTTTAAATCGCCATAGAGAACGTCATAAGTTAATATTTCAAAATTTAATACTTTGACATCTGTCATTTTTGACAGGAGACAATTTTAAATGTTACCATTTTGTGTTTTCTAATCGAGGGTTTCCCTTATTTCGCGGATTTTGAATGAGAATTACGTTTTGGCAGAAATTTATTAAGTAATTTGACATTTTTGACAGCTGTCACTTTTGATTAATACCAATTTTAAATGTTTCACTTTGTGGTATGTATTTATTTTAAAAATTTTATTAAAATAAAATGAAGTTATTAATTATTAAGCTAAAAAGTTGCCGGCATTAACGTTTCGGCCGGAAGAGATAAGTAATTTAACATTTTTGACAGCTGTCACTTTTCATTAATGCCAATTTTAAAGGTTTCACTTTAGAATTTACATATACTCCTTAATAAAATGAAGTTATTGAGCTAAAACGTTGTCGTTATTAACGTTTTGGCCTAAAGGAATAAATAATTAGACACTTTTGACAGCTGTCATTTTTCATTAATGGTAATTTTAAAGGTTTCACTTTGGGATTTACATTTATTTTTTACTAACATGAAGTTATTGAGCTAAAAAGTTGTCGTTATTAACGTTTCGACCGGAAGAAATAAGTAATTTGACATTTTTGACAGCTGTCACTTTTCATTAATGCCAATTTTAAAGGTTTCACTTTGGGATTTACATTTATTTTTTAACAAAATGAAGCTATCGAACTAAAAAATTGCCGTCGTTAACGTTTTGGCCCGAAGAGATCAATAATTTGATATTTTTGATAGCTGTCACTTATCATTAATGTCAATTTAGAATAGCTGTAGTGACTATGTCGAGTTTGGGTTCATATTTAACGATTTTTAGTCGTCAATCTAATTTTATTAAGAAACCAGTAACTTTATAACTGAAATATTGTCAAATGTCAAAATTGAATGAAAAATTATCTTTAATTTTCTTAAAATAAATCAAAAATCCTTCAATTTGACACAAACATGACACATTTAGGGCAAAAAACAAAAAAATCAGGTTAGAAGATGTCAAATGTCAAATCTCTGCCATTTTGTTTTCTAAAATTTATAATATCTCGATAACGATTAGAGATAAATACGTCGAGTTTGGGTTTATATTTAACGATTTTTAATCGTCAATCTTATTTTATGAAAAAAACCACAACTTAACAACTAAAAAAATTGTCAAATGTCAAAATTGAATATTTTTTTAACGAAAAATTGTTTCATTTTCTTAATAATAATGAAAAATCGTTTAATTTAACGCGAAACATGACACACTTAAGACAAAAAAAGAGTTAGGTTAGAAGATGTCAAATCTCCGCCATTTTGTTTTCTAAAATTTATAATATCTCCATAACGATTAGAGATAAATATATCGAGTTTGGGTTCATATTTAACGATTTTTAATCGCCAACCTAATTTTATGAAGAAACCAACAACTTGACAACAAAAAAAATTGTCAAATGTCAAAATTGAATATTTTTTATTGAAAAATTATCTTTCATTTTCTTAATAAGAATGAAAAATCCTTTAATTTAACACCAAACATGACACAATTAGGACAAAAATTAAAAAAGTTAAGTTAGAAGATGTCAAATGTCAAATCCCGCCATTTTGTTTTCTAAAATTTATAATATCTCGATAACGATAAGAGATAAATATGTCGAGTTTGGGTTTATATTTAACGATTTTTAATCGTCAATCTTATTTTATGAAGAAAACAACAACTTAACAACTAAAAAAATTGTCAAATGTCAAAATTGAATGTTTTTTAATGAAAAATTATCTTTCATTTTCTTAATAAGAATGAAACATCATTTTTATGGTTCTTGATGTATATGTTGAAAGGGATGTTGATAAATCCATCCAATTCCTGCATCCTAGTATTCCATTTGCATCAATAGAGCCTAGTACCAATAGCTGCCTAGAATTCTAGGCAGTCTTCCTTGCTTTATCCTCGAAACATTACCCACCCTTCCAGTCTTAAGAATCTGATGTAATTGTTTATTTCTGCTTTCTTGAGGTGGTGATATAATTCGTAGTTGTAGCTAGCTTTTTAGTTCTACTTCCAAGTAGATCCTTGTTAGGCATGATTTTGGTTTGGAGCATAACTTTCTTTTTTCTTATTGATTCTTACTACATTAGCAGCATCATACATGATACCAAGATAACATTAAGTAACATTAGGGATTGTATTGATAAATATTAGGGATAACATTGGAAAAAATCAAATCAAGAAGATAACATCAGAGGCGATGTTGTTAAATGGTGAAGACGATATTGAGAGAATCCAGGACAATATTGAGTGATAATTTTAAGGAACAAAAGAATTATATGATTAAGACTAGTCTTACAGACTTTCTAAAATCATTTTCAAATCATCTCAAATTAATTAAACCCATTAAAACAAATCAATTTTACATTAATACATCTTTTTAGCTGATTATCGAATGCACATTGATGAGATATCATCTGGAGATATCTTCGTAACCGATGCTGAATTACTCCACGGTGGTCACATGCCTGTTTTATTAAATAACACAATGAAGAAAAGCATCGAAATAGCTTTAGAAAGTTATCCGATCCGAATTAAAGCTATTCATATAGTCGCTACTATGCCACTGGCGATTCATGGAATTAATATTTTTAAAGCGTTTCTTAAAGAAGATCTTCGAGAAAAAGTGAAAATATAAATTTCATTTTAATTTAAAGAATTAAAAAAAATGTGTTTTTAGATTCACATTCATAAAAATATGCAATCGGTGATGAAACATATCCCAATAAAATGTTTTCCGAGCGATTGTGGGGGTGGCCAAAAATGTTTAAACGATTTAAACGCTGAGATTACTAAAGTTCTTCAAGGAGCAAGCGATATTTTTGATAATGTGCAATCTTTGAAGTTGTTGGGACCTGTTCCGAAAGACGTCGATACGAATTCTTCTTTAGAATTTGGGATACAAGGGAGTTTTAGGAAATTAAATGTTGATTAATTTATAATTTCAAAATTATAAAGAGTAAAGTTAAAAACATTTAATAATTTTTTTTTAATCCTTTATATTTTCCTTTAAAGATGTTTTCTAAAATTAATGATAATTTACATAATTTAAGAACAATTAATTTAGTTGTTGCAATTGCAAACCTTGAATCGCTTGATTGGTTTTGATTTGAAAACAAAGTGGTTAATTTATGTTATTAACGAGCGAATTAATTATTCAAGTAGTGTTTTTGTCGAAAACTTTAATGGTTATTTATTGATAATGAAAATATTTAATTTAAATTATTAGTTTCTTCGTCAAATGTCAAAATTGAACATTTTTTAATGAAAAATTATCATTCATTTTCTTAATAAGAATGAAAAATCCTTTAATTTAAGACCAAACATGACATAATTAGGACAAAAAGAGAAACAGTTAGGTTAGAAGATGTCAAATATCAAATCTCCGCCATCTTGTTTTCTAAAAATTATAATATCTCGATAACGATAAGAGATAAATATGTCGAGTTTGGGTTTATATTTAACAATTTTTAATCCTCAATCTTATTTTATGAAGAAAACAACAACTTAACAACAAAAAAATTGTCAAATGTCAAAATTTAATATTTTTTAATGAAAAATTATGTTTCATTTTCTTAATAAGAATGAAAAATCCTTTAATTTAAGACCAAACATGACACAATTAGGACAAAAAATAAAAAAGTTAGGTTAGAAGATGTCAAATGTCAAATTTCCGCCATTTTGTTTGTAACAAATTATGTCTTAATAACGATTAGAGATAAATATGTCGAGTTTGGGTTCATATTTAACGATTTTTAGTCGTCAATCTAATTTTATGAAGAAAATAATAACTTTATAACTAAATTATCGTCAAATGTCAAAATTGAATATTTTGAATGAAAAATTATCTTTCATTTTCTTAATGAGAATCAAAAATGCTTCAATTTGACACAAATATGACACATTTAGGGCAAAAACAAAGAAATTAGGTTAGAAGATGTCAAATGTCAAATCTCCGCCATCTTGTTTTCTAAAAATTATAATATCTCGATAACGATAAGAGATAAATATGTCGAGTTTGAGTTTATATTTAACAATTTTTAATCGTTAATCTTATTTTATGAAGAAAACAGCAACTTAACAACTAAAAAAAGTTAGGTTAGAAGATGTCAAATGTCAAATCTTCGCCATTTTGTTTGTAACAAATTATTTCTTAATAACGATTAGAGATAATCATCTCAAATTAATTAAACTCATTAAAACAATCAATTTTACATTCGAATTTGGCCAATCTAATTCTAGTTTAGTTTAGTGTTTGGACAATGTTCTAACTTAGACTTTCTTGTAATTCTAACGTATGCCCAGGTTGCCACTTAAAAATTTCTTGCACTTCAGAGTTTAGACAATGTAACTCTAGACACGCTACTACAACCTGATATTTAAACTATGTAATTTCAGAACTTCTTTTCATACTTGAAGTTTGGCCAATATAATTCCATACCTTTCGTCTAGTTTAGTATTTGGGCAGTGTGATTCCAGACTTTTACATCAAACCTAGCGCCAATTTCCATTAGAGAGTTCCTGAAAGAACAAGTGCAACTTCAAACATTTTCCTTCTAAGCACTTTTCCATAACACCCGGACTTTGGCCAAAATAATTCCACTCTTGTTTGGAGTTAGCTATTTAGCCAGAGTAATTCTAAATTTTTGCATCAAATCTAATTCTGCAGTTTAATTTTCTGCCACTGTAGTTCCAGAACTTTTCTGCAAACTTGGAGATTCGTCACTGCTACTCCAAACAATTTCCTACAAATTGTAACTTGGCCAAAGTAATTTAAGACATTCTCTTGCAACCTGAAAGCTGAGCAATAGCTATTATCATTTGATGCAATAAATAATATCGGTGCTTAAACGTAACTGTCATTTTTGACAGGTCAAATATCATTTTAGACAGTTGAACATAATCTTGATGTGTAAACATCATAATATTGCCATTACTTGTTAATTATTATCATTTGACACAGTAAATAATATCAATGCTTAAAAGTCAACTGTCATTTATGACAGTTTAAATGTTATTTTTGACAGGTCGAATGTCATTCTCGATTATTAGATATAATCTTGATATGTAAACATCATAATGCCATTACTTGCTAGTTATTATCATTTGATACAATAAATAATATCGATACTTAAACGTAACTGTCATTTTTGACAATTCAAATGTCATGTTTAATAGTTCTAATGTCATTTTTGATCAATATTTTGATATGTTAGCATCATAATATTGCCATTATACGTTACCTATTATCATTCGATACACTAAATAATATCAATATTTAAACGTCAACTGTCATTTTTGACAGTTCAAATGTCATTTTCGATTGTTGGATCTAATCTAGATGTGTAAACATCATAATATTGCCATTACTCGTTAGCTATTATCATTTGACACAGTAAATAATATCAACACTTAAAAGTCAACTGTCATTTTTGACAGTTCAAATGTCATTTTCGATAGTTTCACATTATCTGTGATCTGTGATCACATTATCTATGTGTTAGCATCATAACATTGCCATTATACGTTTACTTATTATCATTTGATACTCTAAATAATATCAATATTTAATTAGGAAGAAATAATTTTAAAAAATTTCTTAAATATTATTTAAGAATTGCAAAGTAAATAGAAAATCCTTTAATTTGATACCCAACAACCCATATTTTCGATAAAATCAAACAAGTTAACCTCAAAAAGTGACAGATAATATCCGCCATCTTGTTTTATGTTAACTATGCATATCTTTACGAATATTTAAGGTAAACCCGGTGTGTTTGCATTTAATAATAATAAGCAATTTATTGTTTTTGATAATTACAATTTTCCCCTTAATACATCCTAATATAGTATATTATTTTCACCCTCTACCCTCTTCCTCCATTTCCATACCCTCGGCTCCTCGGCCCAATCCTCCCCTCATCCATCCCTTTGTCTCCTCACCCCCACAACCATTCTCATCCATCGTTTCCCCTCTCCCCCCTCCCCTAAGATCTGCCCTCGGTCCAACTCCTCTTTCCTCAACTCACTGCACCCGTTCAACATATGTTCCAACGTTTCCCATTCCTCCCTGCATAGCCTACACCACCTCTCCTCATCGGCCATCCAGTATCTGTTAGCTTTCTCCTCTTTTCCACAACGGAACCTAGCCACCAACTTCTTCCCTTCCTCATCTCCTTCCAATAACAAGTATCTAGGCAGCCCCTCCGTAATTATGTCATTGTACCTTTCGTTATACCTCCCCTCTTTTATTTGTGTCCTTCTTTCCTGTCTCTGCACATCTCGGTCCCTATCTCTCAACTCCCTCCACATCTCCCTACCCACCCTTCGTCTACTATTTATCTCAGTTACCGAGTAGCCCGCTCGTCTATAATAGTTGGCTCTGTCTCCTTTCCTATATCTCATCTTTCCCTCCAACACTCCCCCAAGACCCCGCAGTTTGGCCTCCCTTCTATTCTTTCTTCATATTTCACTGCTCTCCTGCCCCCCTCCACTCTGACTTTATCCACCTTTACCTCTTCCCGCACTATATACCCCGGTGTTTCTCTCGCCACCCCAAGCACCCATCTCCAGTATCTAGCTTGCACGTCCTCCAGCATTGCCTGCTCTCTTCATCCCCATACCTCTGCTCCATACATCATCACACCGCTAACCAGACCTTCAAACATAATCTTCCTCGCTGCCACATTCCTTCCAAAGACTCTCTTCCCCCAACCCCATACTTGTCCCATCACCTTATTCGCTTTTTTTGCCATAGCTATCACATGCGACCCCTCCCTGTTGTCCTCCCTGAACACATACCCCAAGTAGGTATACTCCCTAACCTCCTCGATCTCTTTTCCCTCCCATCTCCAGTTTTCTGTTCTTTTTCTCCCCCCCTTACAAAACTTCATCATCCTTGTCTTCCCCACATTCACTTCCAGCCCCTTCCCCCTAAAATATCTTTCCAATGTCTTTATCATATCTTTCATCTCCGCCGCTTCTCTCGCCATGACCACGATGTCATCCGCGTATGCTAACATATGCACCTTTCTACCTCCCACCACCAACCCTCCCATTTGCCCCTTCCCCAATCTATCCTCCAGGTCCGCCGTATACAGTGCAAACAGACTTGGGCTCAGCGGACATCCCTGCCTCAGTCCCTTCGTCGTCCAGAACACGTCGCTCAGCTTATCTCCCACTTTTATCCTAGCCATAGTCTCCATGTATATTTCCTTCACTCTCGCAATTAGGTGTTCCGTGATCCCCCTCCTCCCCATCTCCTCCCACAACTTTCCCCTATCCACCTTATCAAAAGCCGCCTTCAAATCTATAAACAGGGCGTACAATTTCCCTCCCTTCTTATCCAGCTCTCTATCTGCCAGATGCTTCAACACGTACACGTTGTCGATTGCTCCCCTTCCCTTCCGAAAGCCTGCCTGCCCATCCGGCAAAATTCCCCCCAACTCCATCTCCTCCTCCAGTCTTCCCAGCAGTATCTTCGTGTATACCTTGTATGCCGAGTCTAGTAGGTTAATTCCTCTGTAGCTCTCTACCCTTCCCTTATTACCCTTTTTATATACTGGGCAAATTACCCCCACTTTCCATCCCTCCGGAATCCCACCCCCTCTCCATACGCTATTCATCCCCTCCAACAACTTCACTCTCACCACCCTTGATGCTTCCAACCATGCCTCGTTCTGGATCCCATCTTCCCCTGGCGCCTTTCCCTTCTTCAATCCCCTAAGCACTGCTTCCATCTCCTCTTCTGCTATCTCCTCTCCCCCATCTCCCTCATAGCCTCCCAAACCCGTTAGCCTCGTTTCAACCCCTCCCAATAATCCCATAAAGTAACTCTTCCATTCTGTCATGTGTATTTCGCTGGTTATCCTCTCCCTACCCTTCTTTCTCTTTTTCAGATACCTCCAGACCTCCCCTTCCCTTGTTATCCCTCTAATCTCTGCCGCCTCCTTCTCCCTCAGTTCTGTTTTCTTTCTACTGCATAACTCTCTGTATCCTCTCCTGGCCTCCCTATATCTATCCACCCCTATCTTCCCCCGTCTCCACTGCCTCAACCTCCTTCTCGCCTCCCTCTTCGCCTTCTTGCACTCGCCATCATACCAGTCGTTCCTCCCTACTCTGCCCCCCCTACGTACACACTCCCTTTTCAGTGTTGCCTCCCGCACTACCTGGATAAGTTCTTCCAAACCATTGATCTCTTGTATCTTCTGTTGCCAAGTGTCTAGGTTTCCCCTGTAGAATGCTACCCCTTCTTCCTTCCAGTCTGTCCTGATGAACGTGCTCCCCAGTTCCGCTCGCCTTCTGCCGTGTGTTTGCATTTAAATAACTCGATTTTTAGAAATTTAGAAAAATCTGTTCGAAAAATCATCGATTTTTATTAAAATTGAGTTTTGAAAGAAATAATTTTTAAAGATTTCTTAAATATTATTTAAGAATTACAAAGAACATAAAAAATCTTTTAATTTGATACCCAACAACCCATATTTTCAATAAAATCAAAAAGTTAACCTCAAAAATGACAGATAATATCCGCCATCTTGTTCTATTTTAACTTTGCGTATTTTCACGAATATTTAAGATAAACCCGTCGTGTTTGGACTTAAATAAATCGATTTTTAGAAATTTATTCGTTTACTTTATTAAAATTGAGTTTAGGAAGAAATAGCTACCTATTATCATTTGATGCAATAAATAAGATCGATACTGCTGTCATTTTTGACAGTTCAAATGTTAATTTTGACAGTTCAAATGTTATTTTAACGGTTCGATTTAATTTTTAGTAGAAAATTAATAATAATTTGCGTTAAATATCTCCTTGAAAAAAATTAACTTTGACGTTTGAACGCGAAATGTGACATTTTGTAAATTTAAAGCGTTTTTGACGTTTCAATGATTATTGCGAGATTGAAACGTCATTTTAAACATGAAATCTCACTTTAATAAAGTTGGTAATAAAGGTTAATTTAAATCGTTCATTAATGTAGGGTTTTTTTATTATTTCATTTAACATAGATAATTATTTAATCTACGTTTAATTTTCTGAAACTTCCATCAACCCCAAAATCTTCATTAGAAAACGTAATCGTGCTCTCTTTCGGAATTGGCCCCAATAATTTCATCTCATCCAGTTTTTCGAATAAATCGCAATTACTCACGTATTTATAACACCCATCGCTGTACTCTTTTATGGTTTTTAACTCCCCACCAAAATCGCTTGGTAAACATTTCAAGGGGATAAAATCTTGTAATTTATCGAGATTCGACCAAACATAGAACTAAAAGTTACGTTATTATAATACAAATTTTAATTTGTTTTATTATTACTAACTCGATTCCTCATTTTTTCTTTAAAAAAAGTTTTAACAATCCCAACAGCTTTAACAACAATCCCCATTGTTGTGATGATATGGATTTGTTTCAACATCAGTGGGCTTGCTGTTTGAACTAAGTCTAAATATTTTCGGGTTATATTACAAAGAAATTTCGATACGTGATTTGGAACGCACAATCTCGCGTCTAAAATGATTACTTCCCCGGCTACTTGGTGAATATCATGGTGTGTTCTCATGTTGGCTAACATTGAGGTGTATCTGAGAGCCCGAAAATTTTCGTAAATCGATGAATTCGGATTTGTAATTGTAAATATCGTTATTCTGTAACCTTCGGGTGTTAATTCCGGTATTATTGCGACGTCCCTAAAATATTTTTTAATAAAATAATAAAATTAAACGAAAAAATGAATTACATATATTTATAAGAACTTAAATCTTCTTCGTAAGTTGGAGATATATTTCCAAATATATCCAGTTGGGTATTTTTCGCTATAAAAAAAGTTTCGATTTTCTTTTTGGCTTTATCAAGGTTTTGTTTACATCCTCTCAGAAATGACGGTAAAATGCAAGGATCTGAAATTGAGGGAAATTAATATTCAAGACGACCTTTTAAAAACAATAAAAAGAATAAAGTCGCTTCCCGATTAGTCAAGGTAAAAGAATTCAATTAATTTAAATGTATACATATTTACCATAATTTTTAGGGAGATGTTGTTGATATTGAATCCACTCGGCTAATAATTTTATATTATTCGAAACCCTTTCGGGATCCTCGTTTAATTTCTGCGCGATTTCCTCGACCAATTTCGGATTAATCGGCGGTAAAAAACCTTCCAACATCTTCTTTAACGTTTATTTGTTGACTTTTCAAACCCAACTGATTCAAAACTTTCGATTCAAAGCGTTTTTATATTCAAATCGACCTTAGATTCCGATAAATGATCAACGATCAAACAGTTATTAATAAAAATTTCATTAATAACTATCTGTTATTATTGAAAATTAAAAGAAATTAAAACGATTGAAATAATCATTTCTAACGAATTTTTTTGACGCGAACTTGAATTATTGGATTATTAGGATCGAATTAAATAATTTGAAAAAAATTGTTTGAATTAAAATATGTAAATCTAGAAATATCTATTTAAAAAAATTAAAAATGAGTTTCGGAAAAAATAATGTTTAAAGATTTCTTAAAAGTTATTTAAGAATCGCAAAGGAAACAAAAATTCCTTTAATTTGATACCCAACAAACCATATTTGCGGTAAAATTAAAAAAGTTAACCTCAAAAAGTGACAGGTAATGTCCGCCATTTTGTTTTAATTTGAAAGAAAACTCAAAAATAAAGAAATCAAGAAAAATCTGTTCGAAAATGTTGTTAAAAATGATTCTTGAAGAAAATAATTTTAGAAGTTTTCTTAAATATTATTTAAGAATCGCAAAGGAAATAGAAAATCCTTTAATTTGATACCCAACAACCCATATTTTCGATAAAATCATAAAAGTTAACCTCAAAAAAATGACAGATAATATCCGCCATCTTGTTAAAGTAATTTTTAAAGATTTCTTAAATATTATTTAAGAATCGCAAAGGAAATAGAAAATCCTTTAATTTGATACCCAACAACCCATATTTTCGATAAAATCAAAAAAGTTAACCTCAAAAAAATGACAGATAATATCCGCCATCTTGTTCTATTTTAACTTTGCGTATCTTTACGAATATTTAAGATAAACCCCTCGTGTTTGGACTTAAATAACTCGATTTTGAAAAATCTGTTTAAAAACATCATCGATTTTTATTAAAATTAAGTTTAGGAAGAAATAATTTTTAAAGATTTCTTAAATATTATTTAAGAATCACAAAGAAAATAAAAAATCCTTTAATTTGATACCCTACAACCCATATTTTCAATAAAATCAAAAAAGTTAACCTCAAAAAATGGCAGATAATATCCGCCATCTTGTTCTATTTTAACTTTGCGTATCTTTACGAATATTTAAGATAAACCCGTCGTGTTTGGACTTAAATAACTCGATTTTGAAAACATCGTGGATTTTTATTGAAAATTGAGTTTAGGAAGAAATCTTTTTTAAAGATTTCTTAAATATTATTAAAGAATCACAAAGAAAATGAAAAATCCTTTAATTTGATACCCAACAACCCATATTTTCAATAAAATCTAAAAGTTAACCTCAAAAAATGACAGATAATATCCGCCATCTTGTTATATTTTAACTTTGCGTATCTTTATGAATATTTGAGATAAACCCGTCGTGTTTGGACTTAAATAACTCGATTTTGAAAAATCTGTTTGAAAACATCATCGATTTTTATTAAAATTAAGTTTAGGAAGAAATAATTTTTAAATATTTCTTAAATATTATTTAAGAATCACAAAGAAAATAAAAAATCCTTTAATTTGATACCCAACAACCCATATATTCAATAAAATCAAAAAGTTAACCTCAAAAAATGACAAATAATATCCGCCATCTTGTTTTATTTCACCTTTTCGTATCTTTACGAATATTTAAGATAAACCGGGCGTGTTTGGAATTAAATAACTCGATTTTGAAAAATCTGTTTGAAAATATCTTCGATTTTTATTAAAATTAAGTTTAGGAAGAAATAATTTTTAAAGATTTCTTAAATATTATTTAAGAATCACAAAGAAAATAAAAAATCCTTTAATTTGATACCCAACAACCTATATTTTCGATAAAATCAAAAAAGTTAACCTCAAAAAATGACAGATAATATCCGCCATCTTGTTCTATTTTAACTTTGCGTATTTTCACGAATATTTAAGATAAACCCGTCGTGTTTGGACTTAAATAACTCGATTTTGAAAAATCTATTTGAAAACATCATGGATTTTTATTAAAATTAAATTTAGGAAGAAATAATTTTTAAAGATTTCTTAAATATTATTTAAGAATCACAAAGAACATAAAAAATCTTTTAATTTGATACCCAACAACCCATATTTTCAATAAAATCAAAAAAGTTAACCTCAAAAAATGACAGATAATATCCGCCATCTTGTTCTATTTTAACTTTGCGTATTTTCACGAATATTTAAGATAAACCCGCCGTGTTTGGACTTAAATAACACGGTTTTTAATTTTAAATCGATCAAAAATAATATTTTTATTAAATAAATCAATATGATATTAAAAAATATTAAAGACGTCGATTTCCATGGTTTCGATAAAATCATTTTTGTTTGAAAATTTAAAAAAATCCAAAAATAAAATGTCAGTTTATTTTAATCTGCCAGATTTTAAAAATTAACTTGTCAAAAAACCAAAATTTATCGTTTTCAAATTATTTAGTGATTCCTTTTGATATAAAAGGTTGACAAAGAAAGAGAAAACGGACTAAAATGAGTCAAAAGAAGAATTTGAGAAATTTAAAAGTCACGTATGTTATATTTATTTTTATTAATTTAATTATATTTTTTTTGTATTAATTTGCAGAAAAGACTTCCGAAATGATAACGCCGGCATCATTTACACCATCATGCCTCCGGATGACACCAAAAGCGATGATGAGAGCTTGGTGGAAGAGCCAAGGTTTGCGCCAATTAGAGACCCGGTTCATCCGTATAATCGCGAGATAAGAAGAAAACCACCAAAACCACCACTGCCAAAACTTAAATTTGAAGGAAGTTTTATTAACCCCACGTTAAGGTACCAGAAAATATTCGATTTAGGAATAAATGTTTAATTTTTTATTTGTTCTTGTAGCACTCGCGTTGAGTATAAAAAACATTACCATCCGGTGTTAACTCCCGAGCAAATGAAGTATGTTATGCCGGAACCGAAACGACTTAAGAGGAAGAAGGCGGAAGAGAGACAGCGACAACGGGAAGTTTACACGAAATGCGAATATTCGATTTTAAGGCTTCCAAGTCCGGTTAATTTAATGAATTTGAGTTTGGTAAGAATTTTTTTAAATTTTTATTAACACCATCTTATTCAGGATGAAAAATCCTTTAAAATGAGACCAAACACGACCACTTTATCTTAAAAACTGTCAGAGTGACATAAAATGTCATTCCGCCATTTTGGATTTACACATATCGATTTCTTTTTCATTTTTAAAGAAAACCTAGCTGTGTTTGGTCTTATATTAAGGGATTTTAGGTGCGGAATTTAAAGAAAAATGAAGAATTTGTTATCCGCCATTTCAATATTGATCAAATTTTGCGATTAATAAAAAATATTTTTAATTTTTATTAACACCACCTTATTGAGGATGAAAAATCCTTTAAAATGAGTCCAAACACGACTAGTTTATTTTAAAAACTGTCAAAGTGACATAATATGTCATTCCGCCATTTTGAATTGAACATATATTGATTTCTTTTTCATTTTTAAAGAAAACCTAGCCGTGTTTGGGCTTATATTAAAGGATTTTAGGTGCGGAATTTAAAGGAAAATGAAGAATTTGTTATCCGCCATTTTGAAAATGATCAAATTTTAGAATCGATAAAAATGATTTTAATTTTTATTAACACCATCTTATTGAGGATGAAAAATCCTTTAAAATGAGTCCAAACACGACTAGTTTATTTTAAAAACTGTCAAAGTGACATAAAATGTCATTCCGCCATTTTGAATTCAACATATATTGATTTCTTTTTCATTTTTAAAGAAAACCTAGCCGTGTTTGGGCTTATATTAAAGGATTTTAAGTGCGGAATTTAAAGAAAAATGAAGAATTTGTTATCCGCCATTTTGAAATTGATCAAATTTTAGAATCGATAAAAAATGATTTTAATTTTTATTAAGACCATCTTATTGAGGATGAAAAATCCTTTAAAATGAGTCCAAACACGATTACTTTATTTTAAAAACTGTCAAAGTGACATAAAATGTCATTCCGCCATTTTGAATTTATACATATCGATTCTTTTTCATTTTTAAAGAAAACCTAGCCGTGTTTGGTCTTATATTAAAGGATTTTAGGTGCGGAATTTAAATAAAAATGAAGAATTTGTTATCCGCCATTTTGAAATTGATCAAATTTTAGAATCGATAAAAAATAATTTTAATTTTTTAAGACCATCTTATTGAGGATGAAGAATCCTTTAAAATGAGTCCAAACACGACTACTTTATTTTAAAAACTGTCAAAGTGACATAAAATGGCGGAAGTGTCATTCGGCCATATTGAATTTAGACATTTTTAAAGATAAAGTAGTGGTGTTTGGACTTATTTTAAAGGATTTTCGATCAAGAATTTAATGAAAAGGCTTAAATAAAAATTAATGACATGTAATTCGCCATATTGAAATTGATTATGATCAATAAATAAACTTTTTTTTCAATTTTTTTAATAGTAACTTGTAGGAAATGAGAAATCCTTTAGTATGAGCCCAAACACGACTACTTTATCTTAAAAACCGTCAAAGTGATATGAAATGTCATTCCGCCATTTTGAATTTAGACATTTTTAAAGATAAAGTAGTGGTGTTTGGACTTATTTTAAAGGATTTTCGATCAAGAATTTAATGAAAAGGCTTAAATAAAAATTAATGACATGTAATTCGCCATATTGAAATTGATTATGATCAATAAATAAACTTTTTTTTCAATTTTTTTAATAGTAACTTGTAGGAAATGAGAAATCCTTTAGTATGAGCCCAAACACGACTACTTTATCTTAAAAACCGTCAAAGTGATATGAAATGTCATTCCGCCATTTTGAATTTAGACATTTTTAAAGATAAAGTAGTGGTGTTTGGACTTATTTTAAAGGATTTTCGATCAAGAATTTAATAAAAAGGCTTAAAGAAAAATTAATGATATGTAATTCGCCATTTTGAAATTGATTTGATCAATAAATAAATTTTTTTTTCAATTTTTTTAATACCAACTTGTAGGAAATGAGAAATCCTTTAGTATGAGCCCAAACACGACCACTTTATCTTAAAAACTGTCAAAGTGACATGAAATGTCATTCCGCCATTTTGAATTATTAATATATTTCGATTTTTTAATTATTTTTAAAGACAAACTAGTCGTGTTTGGACTCATTTTAAAGGATTTTTTATCAACATCACGAAAATCACCAAATTAATGTTGGTATTTATAACCGGAAGTAACTCATATCTCGCTTATTTTTGAAGATAAATATGTCGTGTTTGTGCTCATTTTAAAGGATTTTTAATAGAGATTTTAAATTTTTAATTATTTTTTATTAAATAATTTTTTTTTAATTATAGCTTGAAATGCAATCTCCGGAACTAAGTAAAGCGAGAGTAATGCCATCAAAACCTTCAGTTCAATCGGGATATCTTTACCCCGACCCCCCCACCAAAGACGAATTAGACTTACACAAACCAAAAAGCGGGATTTACGTGAATGTTCGTAAAGATGTTCTTGATAGTGACGCTGCTTTATTAGCTGAAGGAGATCAGTAAGTTTTAATTTAATCCTTAAATATTGATTTATTTAATAAAAAATATTATAAAAGGACTCGTCCAAAAAAGAAAAAACCGAAGACTCTTCCTGAAGGCGAAGCCGTTGACGAACCTTTCGAATGGGAAGATTGGGGCGAAGATTATTTATACGAAGGAGAAGCTGAGGGTCCGTTCCAATTAGACAAATCGACAGCAATCGATGAGGATCGCCCGTTAAGGATGATTCGAAGAGTCGTCGATCAAACCTCAGCAACAACATCCTTAGACGAGAAAGATTTCGTCTTCGAGGACACCAGTTGGGAGAAAATCCCCGTTATCAGCCAATTAGTCCAAACGTTTCGCGCCCAAGACGAAGAGAAAAAGCGAAAAAAGCGCAAATTTAAAAAGGGAACTTTAGAATCGCATTCTTACACGAAATTAAAACAACAAACAATTTGCGAGTTATGCGCCAAAGTTGTTCAGGGGAGTATTCATCAAGGCGATGAGAATTTTTCGAGTTTCAGTCGAGACAAACAAGGGATTTGCGTCCCGATTGCGGCGATGTGTTACGCGAAATTAAGAGGATTAAAGAATCCTTTAGATTGGACCGAAAAGCACATTGATGATATCATCGAGTACGCGGATGCTTTGTATATCGACTCGATAAGTGGGAATCATTTGCATAAAGGGGGCGAATTACTCCCAGAGGATGTCCAAAAGTTTTGCCAAATTCAAGATATGAAGGTGAAATTTACAATTGATGATCCAGATGTTAATGGGCACATCCGCTCAACGGAAAAAAGGATTTATAACATTACGAAGGGTCTTTCGATTTTTTTTAATCGCCATAAACGAGGTTTGTTACAAACGGATTTGATGGATTTGGGGATTTGGAAGAAAAGGAAATATTTTTATATAATCGATGGGCATCCGCGAAGAAAAGATTGCTACACCGATCCGAACGGAAAAGCTGCATTAATTATTTTAGAAAATCTCAAATCGGTTGTCTCAGTTCTCCTCGATCGAACTAATTTGGAGAATTCCCCGTTTTTGTTATCAAAAATAACGATAACTAAAATTATGTGCCAAGATGACGAAGAAATCGAATGCGACGTTAAAGGAACTTACAACATTTTAAGCGACAAAAAAGCGGTGCTTATGGGAACTTTTAATTTAACAGATAAATGTTTTTGTTTCACCCGAAATAAACAAGCTCTCCCCATGGCGATTTCATGCTTAGTTTACGCAAGAATTAGCCAACCAAGTAGTTGGAAGCGCAAAACAATCGATAAAATCATGGTAATAGGGAACCAATTATACATCGAATGCGCCGAATCCGAAAAAGTAATCGACCAAGAATTATCCATAGACAACATCCCAGCTTTATTCACAGTCGGTCCTTACATAACAGAAATATTCATTTACGCAAACTACATCATCGATAATTTATACAAAAAAGGAGTTTGCACATTAAAACGAGTTTTAGAAATATTCTTCGATAAAAACACAAGCGCAATCATCCAAATTGGACCATACACGATAGCCTGTTGGTTTCAACGCAACATGTTTTATTATTTCGATCCGTATTCAAGAAATACGGAAGGTTTTAAATGCCGAAATGGAGCGGCGTGCGTTTCGATGAATTGCGACGTAAACACATTAATCGAAACTTTAACCGCAAATTTCGACGATAAAGAAGCGATTTTTTACGTGCACGCCTTAAAAGTGATCAAAATCAATCGAGACCCAACGATGCGGAAAATATTCCCGAAAAAAATGAGCATGAAACAGATCCCTTTGGATCTATTAAAAAACGTTCGGTGTCGAAAAAGTAAAAAGAAAGCGATCGAGAAACCGATTAAAATCGATTTTACCGAGTACGCGATGAAGAAATTATTGGCCGGGGATGAACCGGGTGCTTCCGTTACCGATATTGCCTCGAATATCGGGAGTTTGCAAGATGAGTATTTGCCGCCGTTTATGGAGAAGCCTCCGCCTAAAGAAATCATTTTAACGGAGCGGGAAGAAAGGAATATCGCCGATTTGGACTCGCCGACTCTATCGGAGACGCAATTTGCCGTTGAGCGACCGCAAACGATGGGGTTGAGCGAATTGTTGACTTTAATGGATTTGGATGCGTTGGAAATGACTCAAGAAGAGTTGGAACAAATTGTTGTTGAAGAGGAGCAAGAGTATGAGGATCAAGGAATGTTGGGAATTGGTGAAGGGGAAGGTAAGTTTGAAATCATTTTTTTTATTCAATTTAATGTGTTTAAATGTATTAAAAAGATTTTTGCATCAAAATTGTCTTGAAATTGATGAACTTGGTGTAGCACGATCTTCTGAGGTTGAGAATTGGGGTTTCCTCTTTGTATATGCTCTAAAACCAAGAAGATCCAGAACATCTTTTGTAGGCAGATCTAAACGATTAGCTTGCTCTTTATGCTCCAGCCAAGCATTTGTATAGGCAATATCTATGGCATAGGTGATTCAGTCTGATCAAAAAATCTAATTTATCTATACCAGGAATTTGCCCACCAATCTCTTCCCTTTCTATCAACAGATACTTTGGCACTATCTCCCCATACCCTACATTGTATCTCCCTTCCTATATCTGAGACCCTTCCTCTGTATGTCCCTGTCTCTATCCCTCAGTTCTCTCTACTCTTCTTTCGCTGATACCAGTTATTGAATATCCCACTCTCTTATAATATCTCCCTGCCCATATATCAACCTCCTCTCCTTGATTTCCCGCCAGTACTCTCCCACAATCCTGAAGGAATGTGGCCTTCCTTCCATTGTATAGGTAGTGTTTGTCTTCCGCAAGGAATTTTTAGTCCTCTATAGAAAGTATTTAGTCTTTTGCAAGCAGTATTAGTATTCTGGGACCAATTCCTTGGCTATTGGTAGCAGTACCTAGCCTTCCATAGACAATATCTATCTTCTGCAAACAGTTTCTAGTATTGTTAAGCAGTTTCTAGGATTGTACAGGTAGTATTTGTCTTCAGCAAGGAGTTTTTAGTCTTCTGCCGGCAATATTTAGTCTTCTACAAGTAGTATTGGTATTCTGCAACCAATTTGTAGTACATTGGTAGCAGTACTTAGGGTTCTATAAACAATATCTATCTTCTTAAACAGTTTCTAGTATTGTACAGGTAGTATTTGTCTTCCGCAAGGAGTTTTGAGTCTTCTGCCGGCAATATTTAGTCTTCTACAAGTAGTATTGGTATTCTGCAACCAATTTGTAGTCCATTGGTAGCAGTACTTAGGTTTCTATAGGCAATATCTATCTTCTGCAAACAGTTTCTAGTACTTTACAGGTAGTATTTGTCTTCCCCCAGGAATTTTTAGTCTTCTGCCGGCAATATTTAGTCTTCTAGAAGTAGTATTGGTATTCTGCAACCAATTTGTAGTCCATTGGTAGCAGTACTTAGGTTTCTATAGACAATATCTATCTTCTACAAACAGTTTCTAGTATTGTACAGGTAGTATTTGTCTTCCGCAAGGAATTTTTAGTCTTCTGCCGGCAATATTTGGTCTTCTACAAGTAGTATTGGTTTTCTGCAACCAATTTGTAGTCCATTGGTAGCAGTACTTAGGTTTCTATAAACAATATCTATCTTCTTAAGCAGTTTCTAAGATTATATAGGTAGTATTTGGAATTTTTGGTCATCTACAGGAAGTATTTAGTCTTCTGCAAGTAGTATTGGTATTCTGCAGCCAATTTCTTGGCTATTGTCTGGCCAGATATGCATTGGTGTAGGTCCGTTTTTTTCAAATGGCAATCCCCCATTTTTATTACGGAATATGAAAGAAGATTTTTTTCTCAATTTAAATCTTTAGACCCGTTTCGTGATTTTTTCATAACCCATTTATTATGATTTTATTGCCTATATCCGTTACTTTGCGGACACACTGTATATAATAATCATATATAATCATTGATATAATATTCAATTGTTTTTCCAAAATTTTTAAAAACGATGTAAAAACGACATTTCTTCCAATTTTGTTAGTATCCGAAGATATTAGATGTGTTATACAGCGTGTTCATAAAGCTTAGTTACTTTTGATGTTTTTCAAATGGCTTTTTTGTAAGTTTTTTTAAATGGAACATCCTGTATATTGTGTGCTGGTTGAATTGTCCATCAAGTTAACTTTAATTAATGATAAGTATGTCATATATCTAATTTTAGTAGTTTTCCTGATATTTAGAATTTAAAGAATAATGTGTAATAAAATATGCATTATGGTACTTAATATTATATTCTCTGTATTTTATCAGTTTTTAAAATATTTATGTAATCGCTGTAGATAACGCCCTGTATAAAACGTCACTTTTGACAACATTTCTAACTTCACTTTTATTAAAATCATTTAGTGACATTTCATTTATCAAGTTTTTAAATTACATTTGACATTTCTAATCTAACATTTTTTTATATAAAACGTCACTTTTAACAACATTATAATTTCACTTTTATTAAAATCATTTAGTGACATTTAATTTATCAAGTTTTTAAATTCATTTCAATCGACATTTGACATTCACTTTTGACAACATTTCTAACTTCACTTTCATTAAAATCATTTAGTGACTTTTAATTTATCAAGTTTTTAAATCCATCTCAATCGACATTTGACATTTCTAACCTAACTTTTTTCGAAGAAATGTCATTTTTAAAACTTAATTTACATAATTCATCATGATTTAACGTCACTAATCATCCAAATTCATCTAAATTTATATAAAAAAATGTAATATTATGTAATTATGTGACGATAATGATTAATATTTAATTTTTTTAGGTTTACCCGAAGAAGAGGAAGATTTCTACATGGTAAAATCGAAGTACACCTCAGTTAACTCATCATCCCTCGAAAGTTTACATCTAAGACAATCGGAAGTTATCAACACGGACGTTTCATATTGTTACAATATCTTACCAGCGGATGAGCTCCCATTAAGAACGAAAAAAGACGTCGATCACGTCATATTAATCGACGAGGAAATCCAAGCTATGGAATTAAAACGAGAAACGCATTTCAAAACGGTTCAAGACGACGAATTAGATTTTGAGGTGCAAATCATATTCGGCGAAAAGAATATGTTGGAATACTTAGTTCCGATCGTAAAAACAGCCTACGAACAAGCCACTATGAAGGATGTGACATCCGTTTTAACATCAACAGGGAAAAGTGCTTCATTTCAGGCATCATCCCTCGTTAGTTCAAAAAACATCGAGCCGAATATATTCGAAAATTTCGAAATATCATCGCTTTTCGATTCCCAGGAGAATTTAAAAGAAGTCGACCCCGATTTAAAGTTTGAATTGAACCAAAACGTGAATTTATTGGCACCTTATGTTTGTATTATGGCAGTGGCTTATTCAAACGAGTGCCCTTTGTATAAATGGACCAAAAAAACGGTCGATTTCGTTTTAAAAAACGGCGCGGAACTCTTTGATTCATTCCAAGTGGCTTACGACCGCGTGGAAGATTTTCATTTAGAGTTTAGTCGATATAAAATCGATATGACTTTAGAAAACTTGTTGGATACTTACGTTGGGACAAAAATCATCGAAACCGATTTTAGCGAGAAAGCTTTGAGGGATTTATTAGAAAATTATCTTTTTAATAAATCAATATCGGGAATTTTAGTTACCAAGCAGTATTCGTGCGTAATTTTCTTCAAAAAACACATGTTGTATTTGTTTGAAGTCTTTGGGGTTTGCAAACATGGTAAAGTTGATCAACAAGGGTTTAAAGGACCGGCTGCTTTGATGCGATTCAAAAATTTCGACACATTAATTTTAAGAATACTACAAAATCGAAAATTAAGACTATCAGAGGAAGAAAAAGATGTTGAATACACCAGAATAATCCTATTAAAACCAAACATCACCAAAATCGGGGACGAACTCCAAGAAAAAGTTGCAATTCAAAAGTATTACGACGAAGATGGGCTTTTAGTTGAGCCTGAAATAACTCAATCGAAAGAATTGGCCAAAGCAAGCAATTTCATCGATCTTCCCGATGGTTCTCAAATAATCCGCGGGAGATACGATGTTAAACAATATTCCCCAGACGCCGATCTTTTAGCGCCTTATATCTGCATAATGGCAGCCGCAGTTGCTGGGAAATATCAAGTTTCAACTTGGTCTCCAGATATCGTTGATTACGTGTTAAGGTGCGGATCAGAGTTACATCAAAAATCGAAATATCAATTCTTAGAAGTCGCCAAATTAGAAATTCCCCGCGTCGCTTTAGGAAAAACCGATTTCCGACTCGAAATCGATTACAGATTCGATTCCCCTTTAAAACAACGCATTTTAGAAGTAAAATAATTATCATTACGAATCCTAATTAAATAAATTAATTAATAAAATTTGTTTAGGTTAGCTTAGAAAAAATCCTACATCAAAACGGAGATTGGGCAATAATCGTGAGTCAAGAATACTCGTGTTCTTGTTATTACAAAAACGGGCTTTTTTATCTTTACGATCCGTACGCTTCGAACGAAGTTGGATTGAGCGAGGGGCCGTTTTCGAGGGGGTTGGCGAGTTTCTCGCGGTTCACCGATTTACCTTCGTTGGCGACGAGGATTGTTTATAACAAACAGAAACGCGAGCAGCCCGAAAAAGTTAGTTACAGCCGATTCGTGTTGAGTACGTGTAAGGTGCGATATTTGCAACCTGAACAAACGAAAGCTCCGCCTCGACGGCCGAAACGAAAAGAACCCGAAGCGAAGAAAGCTGTTGAAACTGCCGAAGATGGCGCGGATTTCGGCGAAGAAGAGGAAGAGGAAGTTGAGAATAAAGTTGGTTTTCAGGTAATTAATCACTTTTTTTTTTAATACTGTTTAACTTTCTACTATACCAGAAAGAACCTATATAAAATTCATCTAGATGTGAGGTTAAAAGTTTAATGAAAAGTGGTGTTGATGAATTTTGTTGTTTAAAAAGGCATCTCTTGGATAAATTAGGATAAATTAGTTACATTTTGTGTTTGATACATAAAAGTAACTTGCAATAATCCTACAAATTATTTTCTAACACTGATAGATAACTTATTTGTAGCATGAATCATAGTATTCATCAAACCATTTCATTTGATACCTCGCTCATAAAAATTGGAATGTAAATGACAGAGTTACAACTTGGGGCGTTTTTTATCTGACACCCTGTATGATAACTAACTTCACGTTTAAAATGTCAACCTCAATTTTGCCATATTTGTAATCTTCATTAAAAATCCTTTAAAATGAGTACAAACACGACATATTTATATCCAATATTAATGAAGTTATGGTCAACTTCCGGTTAAAAATGTCAACGTCAATTTTGACATATTTGTAATCGTCGTGAAAAATCCTTTAAAATGAGCCCAAACATGACACGTTTAATTCCGATATTACTCGAGATATAAGCAACTTCCGGTTTGAAATGTCAATGTCATTTTGACATGTTCTTAATTTTTATAAAATGTCTTAATATTTGTCACAAAAAACAAAAATATAATAAAAAAAGATAAAAAATTAAGGTTGGTATTAATATTTCAAAATTAAATCAGTTGCTAACTTCGGGTTTGACGTTTTTTATTCTAACTTTTTTGTTTTTTGAGATAAGTGTATCATATTTGGACTCATTTTAAAGGTTTTTTAATGAAGATGACAAATATGTCAAAATTGACGTTGACGTTTCAAACCGGAAGTGATTGTATCTTCATTAATATTACAGTTAAATATGTCGAGTTTGGACTCATTTTAAAGGATTTTTTATGAAGTTGACAAATTTGTCAAAATTAAAAATTGACAGTTCCAACTTTTTGGTTTTTTGAAATAAATGCATCATGTTTGGACTCATTTTAAAGGTTTTTTAATAAAGAATACATCATGACGTCCATTTGTCTATTATATGATAACTAACTTCAAGTTTAAAATGTCAACCTCAATTTTGACATATTTGCAATCTTCATTAAAAATCCTTTAAAATGAGTACAAACACGACATATTTATCTTCAATATTGTTGAAGTTATGGTCAACTTCCGGTTAGAAATGTCAACCTCAATTTTGATATATTTGTAATCGTCGTGATAAATCCTTTAAAATGAGCCCAAACATGATACGTTTAATTCTAATATTACTCGAGATATAAGCAACTTCCGGTTTGAAATGTCAATGTCATTTTGACATATTCTTAATTTTTATAAAATGTCTTAATATTTGTCACAAAAAACAAAAATATAATAAAAAAAGATGAAAAATTAAGGTTGGTATTAATATTTCAAAATTAAATTAGTTGCTAACTTCGGGTTTGACGTTTTTTATTCTAACTTTTTTGTTTTTTGAGATAAGTGCGTCATCTTTGGACTCATTTTAAAAGTTTTTTAATGAAGATGACAAATATGTCAAAATTGACGTTGACGTTTCAAACCGGAAGTGATTGTATCTCCATTAATATTAAAGTTAAATATGTCGAGTTTGGACTCATTTTAAAGGATTTTTTATGAAGTTGGCAAATTTGTCAAAATTAAAAATTGACAGTTCCAACTTTTTGGTTTTTTGAGATAAATGCATCATGTTTGGACTCATTTTAAAGGTTTTTTTAATAAAGAATACATCATGAAGTTGTCCATTTATTTATTATATGATAACTAATTTCAAGTTTAAAATGTCAACCTCAATTTTGACATATTTGCAATCTTTATTAAAAATCCTTTAAAATGAGTGCAAACACGACATATTTATCTCCAATATTAATGAAGTTATGATCAACTTCCGGTTAACTTCTCAAGCTGGTTCAGTTCTATTATATCCAAAAACGTATGATTTAGATCCACATATTATTACATTTATTTTTAAATTTATTTTTAATTATTTATTTTGAGGTTAGATTTAATTTTTTTGACATTTCAATGATTTATTAATTGAACGTATTCAAAGTCGATGAAGCCGGAACTTTTAATTTTTTTCTTGTTGCTCATTTAATTGAACGTATTCAAATTAGTTATTTTTTTAAATTTATTTAAATTAATTTTTAAATAAATAATTATAAATGAATTAATTAATTTACATTAATAAAATAATTACTTTAATTAAGAACGTATCCAAAAGCCGATAAAGCAGATTCATGTCATTAAACGTCAATTTTTTGTTGGTTATGTGTACTTAATCGGCGATTTTATCTTTTTAATTTCATTAAAACTATTGTATTAATATTATCAACAATTAAACATATGTGAAGGAAAAAACATAGCATGTCCGAGACATAGTCTACTAAATAAGGTAAAAAAAATCCTTGATATTAATGGACAAATCGCAAACCACGGTTTAGAGATGAGCTGTCCTTGTACTTCTCTTCAAATATTCCGCTTCCCATTTCCATCTTTCTCAAATTCTTCTTCTCTCCTCCAAAAACAGCTCACTCACTTCTATCTTAATATTTATCCTTCCCTTATCGTGATCTTCTCTTGCTAAAGAATCTGCACGTTCTTTTCCCAATATACCACAATGGCCAACATATATCCAACATATACTTCTGTTATCCATATATTATGTCTCATACAATTCCTCAATGATCTTGAATAATAAATACTGACCATCCAAATTACCTTTGTATTGCTTCCCTAGAGACTAAAAAATAATGTTAACGTTGACTTTAATTTTTTTATTATATTCGTAATCTTTATAAAATAACCTTTAAAATGAATCCAAACATGACGCACTTATCTCAAAAAACAAAAAAGTTAGAATAAAAAACATTAAACCGGAAGTTAGCAACAATGAAGATAACAATTTAATTTTTAAATATTAATACCAACCTTAATTTTTTATCTTTTTTAATATATTTTTGTTTTTATGACAAATATTGAGACATTTTATAAAAATTAAGTATATGTCCAAATTGACGTTGACATTTTTTGTCAAAATTGAGGTTGACATTTTAATCCTGAAGTTAGTTATCATATAATAGGCAAATGGACACTAGAACTAACACAAGACCTTGAAATACAATCTTTCGGGTACCTGATTTAGTGAAAATAACTTTACTTTTAAGTTTATCAGATTGATTTTGTTCGTGGCTATAAAATAAAATTATAAAAAATTAAATTATTTATAAAATTTTTCCTAATTTTTTCCATTTTACTTTCTTGGTTATGAAACGTCACCTTTGACAATTAAAGGGGTGCGTTCATAAACCGTCAACGGCTGCGTTCATATACGCGGCTTTTTTTGTGTTACGAAACGTCACTTTTGACAATTAGAGTTGCCAAGTCGGTGGAATTTCCGTAGCTCCTTAATTTTTCTTAAATAGTAAGTCGTTTATTTTTGTTTATAATCTATTTGTTATGTTTATGTTTATATTTATATTTTTATCATTACATACTATGTTACAACATATTCTTGTTAGTCTTTTAAATTGACACTAAACGAATTTAAACGTTGAAGTGTAACGCCATCTAAGCGTGACATTAGATAATCTCAAAACAGTTTAGCGGTTTTTTGACGGAATCTATAGTACCAACTAAGAATTAATACATAATTATTAATAAAATGAATTTAATTTTAGAATCGTTCTGGATACTGGGTGGTTGAAGGTACAAGATATCCAACATCTCCGACCCGCGAAGACGTCTCTGATATTCTCAAAGCGGACCATTTCGTTTGTATTTGCGTCTGCTTAACCGTCATTAGCGTCCCAATCAAAAAATGGGATACATTAAAAGTGAATCGAGTGATAAACCAAGGTCAACACATTTATTCGCACGCCGAAAATTTGGAGCATTCCGAGAAAAGAACGATAAAAAACATTCTTATCGGCAAACATTTCTTTGATATTATCGTAAAACCGATTGACGTCGCGAGATGGCGCGGCCCCCACAACATCACGACTGGTTTAAAATTTATTTTTACGAAACGAAAGTTTGCTTTGGTTCAATTTCCGAATTGTTGTGTCGTTCTTTATAAGGAGGATAAAAACGATGATGCCATTTACATTTTTGATCCCTACGCTTACACTTTTACGATCCCGAAAACAGACGATGAAGATGAAAAAACGATGACTATTCAGTGTGGGTGGACCATGTATACCAAGCCTAAACAATTAATTAAGAGGCTAAAAGAAATCGCTCCTAAAGATCAAGAAAATAGCTTCGTCTTTTATTCATTTGAAGTGATCTCGGTGAAAAAAGCCCCTAAAAAAGTACTTCTAACCCATAAAGCCATGCAATATAAATTGGAACGAGCCAAACCTGCCGAAATTATTGGAAGGCCGTTCCATGAACAAGAAAATTGGTTGGATATGCATAAAGCCCCATGGAGTCGAATCCAAGAACAAACAGCGTGTGGAAAAATTCGAAATTCGCGCGATTCAAAATGGCATAATTGGGATATCGAATACGAAAACGACCTATTTTCTTTAGTTGGAACTTTGCATATAACATCAAGAAAATTCAACGTGTGTAATCGTGGAAAACAAACGTTATGTAACTTAGTCGTCTCAATTGCAATGACGAATATCTACGAATTAAGCGAATGGACCGACCGAATATTAGACTCAGTTCTTTACAACGGCGATTCTTATTTCACCGAATGCGTGAAAGACATCCACGAACATAATTACGAAATTGCCATGGACGATTTACTCGAAGATTGTAGCATTTTCCCATACAACTTTAAAGTTGCCTACACCCCAGCGATCGAAGGAACGATTTTCTTATCGTCAAAGACCAAATTCAATCTTTATAAAGCGTTGAGATATTTCTTTGAGAATTACGAAAGTCGCTGCGGCGTTTTAATTTGCACGAAAGGCGCCGAAAATCCAAAACGGATGTGCAGTTTTGGGAAAATCCAAGAAAGCGAATATTTCGTTTACGACTGCCAAGCGTTTGGACCACCCATGTTTATGGAGAAAGAGGGGGCTTCTTATATCTTAAGGATGACAACTTTAGCCAGGTTATTGCACTGTTTAGTTTTGACGCTAAAAGGGGGCGATTTCTTTATTTACGACGTTGAAACTTACGATTTTGAATCGATCGAGCCGAAAAAGGAAGACGATGACGATAAAGTTGATGAAGGAGGAGACGTGGAGGTGGACGCGGGAGGAGAATAAGTTTTTTTTTTGAAGATTTGGAAATAAGGTATTGTTTTTTTTTTAAATTATTTATGAACACAAATAAAGCTTAAACAAAAATTGATTTTTTATCGACAAAAAGATAAAAAAATAAAAGCGAGAGTCCAAAGACCTTTTTATACCTGGACTTAACTCTTTATTACCCCACCCGATCTTTTAAGTTGAATTCACATCGCAAAAAATTACTTTTTTAAAATTAATCCCCGTTAAAACAAATCCAAACACGACGTATTTCGCCGAAATACTTAAAATTTTATTTTTTATAAAAACAAAAATGGCGGAAAATTAATAATCTATATAGATATTTCGATAGATAACAAAAAACGGCGTTAAATGAGCCCAAACTCGATATATTTATCTCTAATCGTTATCGAGATATCTCAATTTTAATAAAATCAAGATGGCCGAAAACAAAACACTAAAAAATGGCGCCTAATTAAATTAATTTTACTTAATCTAATTATAAAGATAGGGTGTGATACGTTAAATTAGGTTAAAATTTTCTGCTCTTTACGAACCAACCAATTATTTTTTTAGGTTATGTTCAAAACCGGAAGTTGGTTATTTATTGAGATAACCCCATCGAGTTTGGGCTCATTTCGAACGGTTTTTAATCGAGATTCTAATTTACGAATAAAATGTTGTATATTTTTTATTTTGTTTTGGAATCTTTCGTTTTATTTCTTTTGTTGTGCGCAAAATCTTCTATAAGTTATTTTTTTAAGGGGATATCAAAGCCGGTGGGGCCGAGTCCGCATAGGAAGGATGAACGAGGGTTAAAATTCTCCATTTCACTCACGATGATGCTGGCTGATGCTTCAAAGGTAGGAAATTTATTTTAATCGAATCGATCGCCGTGGAAACTTGAAACTTGCTATAAGTTAACCCCAAACGTTCGTTTATAACCTCAAAAAAATTCGTTTCTTAAATCTTATTCGTTGAGGAGAAAATAATTTTTTTCTTAACCTCACTTTGAGAAACGTCAAATTGAAAGGGTGATTTTAAAAAAATAATTTTAATCGAATCGATCGCCGTGGAATCTTGAAATTTGCTACGATTTAACCTCAAACGTTCCTTTATAACCTCAAAAAGTTTCATTTCTTTAATCTTAATCGTTTGGGAGAAAATAATTTTTTTTTAAATTCACTTTTAGAAACGTCAAATTGAAAGGGTGATTTTAAAAAATTAATTTTAATCGAATCGATCGCCGTGGAATCTTGAAATTCGCTACGATTTAACCTCAAACGTTCCTTTATAACCTCAAAAAATTTCATTTCTTTAATCTTCATCGTTTAGGAGAAAATAATTTTTTTCTTAACCTCACTTTGAGAAACGTCAAAATGAAAGGGTGATTTTAAAAAATTAATTTTAATCGAATCGATCGGCGTGGAATCTTGAAATTTGCTACGATTTAACCTCAAAGCTTCCTTTATATCCTCAAAAAGCTTCGTTTCTTTAATCTTAATCGTTTGGGAGAAAATAATTTTTTTCTTAACCTCACTTTGAGAAACGTCAAATTGAAAGGGTGATTTTAAAAAATTAATTTTAATCGAATCGATCGCCGTGGAATCTTGAAATTTGCTACGATTTCAAAAAGTTTCGTTTCTTTAATCTTAATCGTTTGGGAGAAAATAATTTTTTTCTTAACCTCACTTTGAGAAACGTCAAATTGAAAGGGTGATTTTTAAAAATTAATTTTAATCGAATCGATCGCCGTGGAATCTTGAAATTTGCTACGATTTAACCTCAAACGTTCCTTTATAACCTCAAAAAATTTCATTTCTTTAATCTTAATCGTTTGGGAGAAAATAATTTTTTTCTTAATCTTACTTTGAGAAACGTCAAATTGAAAGGGTGATTTTAAAAAATTAATTTTAATCGAATCGATCGCCGTGGAATCTTGAAATTTGCTACGATTTAACCTCAAACGTTCCTTTATAACCTCAAAAAATTTCATTTCTTTAATCTTAATCGTTTGGGAGAAAATAATTTTTTTCTTAACCTCACTTTGAGAAACGTCAAATTGAAAGGGTGATTTTAAAAAATTAATTTTAATCGAATCGATCGCCGTGGAATCTTGAAATTTGCTACGATTTAACCTCAAACGTTCCTTTATAACCTCAAAAAGTTTCATTTCTTAAATCTTAATCGTTTGGGAGAAAATAATTTTTTTCTTAACCTCACTTTGAGAAACGTCAAATTGAAAGGGTGATTTTAAAAAATTAATTTTAATCGAATCGATCGCCGTGGAATCTTGAAATTTGCTACGATTTAACCTCAAACGTTCCTTTATAACCTCAAAAAGTTTCATTTCTTAAATCTTAATCGTTTGGGAGAAAATAATTTTTTTCTTAACCTCACTTTGAGAAACGTCAAATTGAAAGGGTGATTTTAAAAAATTAATTTTAATCGAATCGATCGCCGTGGAATCTTGAAATTTGCTACGATTTAACCTCAAACGTTCCTTTATAACCTCAAAAAGTTTCATTTCTTAAATCTTAATCGTTTGGGAGAAAATAATTTTTTTCTTAACCTCACTTTGAGAAACGTCAAATTGAAAGGGTGATTTTAAAAAATTAATTTTAATCGAATCGATCGCCGTGGAATCTTGAAATTTGCTACGATTTAACCTCAAAGCTTCCTTTATAACCTCAAAAAATTTCATTTCTTTAATCTTAATCGTTTGGGAGAAAATAATTTTTTTCTTAACCTCACTTTAAGAAACGTCAAATTGAAAGGGTGATTTTAAAAAATTAATTTTAATCGAATCGATCGCCGTGGAATCTTAAAATTCGCTACGATTTAACCTCAAAGCTTCCTTTATATCCTCAAAAAGTTTCGTTTTTTTAATCTTAATCGTTTGGGAGAAAATAATTTTTTTCTTAACCTCACTTTGAGAAACGTCAAATTGAAAGGGTGGGTTTAAAAAATTAATTTTAATCGAATCGATCGCCGTGGAATCTTGAAATTTGCTACGATTTAACCTCAAACGTTCCTTTATAACCTCAAAAAGTTTCATTTCTTTAATCTTAACCGTTTGGGAGAAAATAATTTTTTTCTTAACCTCACTTTGAGAAACGTCCAATTGGAAGGGTGATTTTAAAAAATTAATTTTAATCGAATCGATCGGCGTGGAATCTTGAAATTCGCTACGATTTAACCTCAAACGTTCCTTTATAACCTCAAAAAGTTTTATTTCTTAAATCTTATTCGTTTAGGAGAAAATTTGATTTATGTAATAATTTTGCATATCTTTGTCCTCGAATATAAACCCGCCTTGAATCGTTATAAACCTTTATTTATTTTTCTTTTTAATCTGTCACCTTCGTTGTAAACTTTAACGAATCTTTCTACCTGCTTCTTTTTAACCTCTTCCTTCTTTCTTACATTTCCTTTTTTGTTTTATTTTTAACGTTGCCCAGTTCTTAACCTGGCTCTTTTTCACCTCCTTTTTCTTTTTAATTTTTTAAACCCCCCCGCCGCAGTCATGCGCGTTAACCCAACCACCACCACCACCAACAGCGCCCCCGTTCGACGCCCATCCTCAATCCTTATTCCAAGAAGAAGGAATCCCTTCGCATTCGTCCTCCAGACGCGGGATTACACGAACGTTTTGTAACATTCAAAAACCTAACCTTAAAAAAAATACGCGAGCTCATACAAAAACTGAAAATTCCTGAAAAATTTATTAATTGACACATTTTTGTGGACACTAACAAAACTTGATTAACAATTATTAGCATTTTGATTTATAACTAAGAAAAATGTGTCGTGTTTTCGAAATAATTATAATCGTGGTCGCGATTGTGCCGGGAATATTTTCCGGAAGTTGTCGCGAAGCAAAATTGTGCTGTCCAGGTCGGGATTCTTCTTGCGTAGTACAAAAGGCCCCGATTAACGCCATCATCGAGGATTTAAGCGATAAACCCTGCTATTGCGATCATGCCTGTTTGAAATTGGGGGATTGTTGTGATGATTTTAAGCCAGCCTGCGGGGGTAAGTCAGCAATCAATTAATAAATAACTTGAATGCGACAAAAAAATCGTGGCAAAAAATGTTTTTGGGGTTATAACGTTTATTTCTACCTCCTGCTTTGTGCATTTCTATTTTGAAGAGATGGAATCGTTGTGATTATTTATAGAAAGTGAATTCCTTCTGGGCGTCTATCTTTGGAATGAACCGAGTAAGCCCAAAAAAGAATCAAAAAACGTAAAATGAAGGTGTCAAAAGGAAATGATAAAAATAAACTTGCCGTAGTCAAGAATTTCTGTTGCTATTAATACATCGTTTTTCAATTTTGTTATAATAAGAAAAACTGTATAAGAAGAACTATTTTCGAAAATTAACTTGAATTTTTTTATTAGGAAGGGTAGTTTCGTTAAAAAAATCGGATATAAAATCAAAAATTCTTTGAAATGAGTCCAAACTCGACGTATGTATCTCTAATCGTTAACGAGATATTATAATTTTTAAGAAACAAAATGGCGGAGTTTTGACATTTGACATCTAACCTAACTTTTTTGTGCTAAATGTGTCATGTTTGGTGTCAAATTAAAGGTTTTTTCATTCTTATTAAGAAAATGAAATATAATTTTTTAATTAAAAAATATTCCATTTTGACATTTGACAATTTTTTTTGTTGTAAAGTTGTTGGTTTCTTCATAAATTTAGGTTGGCAATTAAAAATCGTTAAATATGAACCCAAACTCGACATATTTATCTCTAATCGTTATCGAGATATTATAATTTTTAGAAAACAAAATGGCGGAGATTTGACAACTTCTAACCTAACTTTTTTGTTTTTTGTCCTAAATGTGTCGTGTTTGGTGTCAAATTAAAGGTTTTTTCATTCTTATTAAAAAAATGAAATAATTGTTCATTAAAAAATATTCTATCTTGACATTTGACAATTTTTTTAGTTGTAAAGTTGTTGGTTTCTTCATAAAATTAGATTGACGATTAAAAATCGTTAAATATGAACCCAAACTCGATATATTTATCTCTAATCGTTATTGAGATATTATAATTTTTAGAAAACAAAATGGCGGAGATTTGACATCTAACATAACTTTTTTGTCCTAAATGGGTCATGTTTGGTGTCAAATTAAAGGATTTTTAATTCTTATTAAGAAAAATTAAAGATAATTTTTCATTAATAAATATTTAATTTTGACATTTGACAATTTTTTTAGTTTAAAAGTTGTTGGTTTTTTCATAAAATTAGGTTGGCGATTAAAAATCGTTAAATATGAACCCAAACTCGACATATTTATCTGTAATCGTTATTGAGATATTTTAATTTTTAGAAAACAAAATGGCGGAGATTTGACATCTTCCTACCTAACTTTTTTTTTGTCCTAAATGTGTCATGTTTGGTGTCAAATTAAAGGATTTTTAATTCTTATTACGAAAATTAATGATAATTTTTCATTAAAAAACATTCAATTTTGACATTTGACAATTCTTTTAGTTATTAAGTTGCTAGTTTCTTCATAAAATTAGATTGACGATTAAAAATCGTTAGATATGAACCCAAACTCGACATATTTATCTCTAATCGTTATCGAGATATCTTAATTCTTAACAAACAAAATGGCGGAGATTTGACATTTGATAACATCTAACGTAACTTATTTGTTTTTTGTCCTAAATGTGTCGTGTTTGGTATCAAATTAAAGTATTCTTGATTCTCATTAAGATTATTTCAATATCTATCAAAAAATAACTAAATTCGATTTTGACATTTGACAGTTTCAACCTAACTTTTTCATTTCTTAACCGAAATACGTCAAGTTTGGTATCAAATTAAAGCATTTTTAATTCT